GCAAGCAGTGTTAGCACTAGGAAAACGTCTAAGGGCCAACGAACGCAGAGATCACACGAGCACACGTGCCTAGCCAGTACTCTAAGCTCCCGTTGTAGTAGTTATCTCCGCAGATGAGGCAAGCTTCTAGACCAAGGAAGCTCCTGGACCAGGCAAGCTCCTGGATCAGGCAATCTCCTGGTCCAGGCAAGCTCCTGGACCAGGCTAGCTCCTGGACCACGCAAGCTCCTGGACCAGGCAAGCTCCTGGACCACTCAAGCTCTTGGACCAGGCATGCTCGTAGACCAGCAAGCTCTTGGACCAGGCAAGCTTCTGGACCAAGCAAGCTCATGGACCAGGCAAGCTCCTGGAATTGGCAAGCTCCTAGACCAGTCAAGCTCCTGGACCAGGCAAGCTCCTGGACCACGCAAGCTCTTGGACCAGGCACGCTCCTGGACCAGGCAAGCTCCTGGACCAGGCAAGCTCTTTGACTAGGCACGCTTCTGGACCAAGCGAGCTCCTGGACCAGGAAAGCTCCAAGACCACGCAAGCTCTAAGACCAGGCATGCTCCTCGACCAGGCAAGCTCTTGGACCAGGCAGGCTTCTGGACCAAGCAAGCTCCTGGACTAGGCAAGCTCCGGGACCAGGCACGCTCCTAAACCACGCAAGCTCCTGGACCAAGCAAGCTCCTGGACCAGGCAAGCTCCTGAACCAGGCAAGCTCCTAGACCAGGCAAGATCCTGGAACAGGCAAGCTTGTGGACCAGGCACGCTCCTGGACCAGGCAAGCTCCTGGACCAGGCAAGCTCCTGGACCAAGCAAGCTCGTGGACCAGGCAAGCTCTTGGACCAGGCAAGCTCCTGGACCAGGCAAGCTCCTGGACCAGGCAAGCTCTTAGACCAGGAACGCTCCTGGACCAGGCAAGTTCCTAGACCAGGCAAGCTCTTGGACCATGCAAGCTCCTAAACTAGGCAAACTCGTGGACCAAGCACGCTCCAGGACCAGGCAAGCTCCTGCACCAGGCAAGCTCCTAGACCAGGCAAGCTCGTGGACCAGGCAAGCTCGTGGACCAGGCAAGCTCCTGGACCAAGCAAGCTCTTGGACCAGGCACGCTCGTGGACCAGGCACGCTCCAAGACCAGGCAAGCTCTTGGACCAGCCAGGCTCGTGGACCAGGCACGCTCCTGGACCAGGCAAGCTCCTCAACCAGGCAAGCTCCTGGACAAGGCAAGCTCCTGGACGAGGCACGCACGTGGACTAGGCACGCTCCTGGACCAGGCAAGCTCCTGGTTAAGGCAAGCTCCTGGACCATGCAAGCTCTTGGACCAGGTACGCTCGTGGACCACGCAAGCTCTTGGACCAGGCACGCTTCTAGACCAAGCAAGCTCCTGGACCAGGCAAGCTCCTGGACCAGGCACACTCCTGGACCAAGCAAGCTCCTGGACCAGGCAAGCTCCCGGACCAGGCAAGCTCCTAGACCAGGCAAGCTCCTTGAGCAGGCAAGTTCCTGGACCAGGCAAGCTCCTGGACAAGGCAAGCTCCTGGACCAGGCAAGCTCCTGGACCAGGCACCCTCGTGGACCAAGCACGCTCCTGGACCAGGCAAGCTCCTGGACCACGCAAGCTCTTGAACAAGGCACGCTCCTGGACCAGGCAAGCTCTTGGACCAGGCAAGCTTCTGGACCAAGCAGGCTCCTGAACCAGGCAAGCTCCTTGACCAGGCAAGCTCCTGGACTAGACAAGCTCTTAGACCACGCAAGCTCTTGGACCAGGCGAGCTCCTAGACTAGGCAAGCTCTTGGACAAGGCACGCTCGTGAATCCGCACGCTCCTGGACTAGGCAAGCTCTTGGACCAGGCAGGCTCGTGGACGAGGCAAGCTCTTGGACCAGGAAAGCTCCAGGATCAGGCAAGCTTCTGGACCATGCAAGCTCCAGGACCAGGCAAGCTTTTGGACCAGGCAAGCTCCTGGACCACGCAAGCTCTTGGACTAGGCACGCTCCTGGACCAGGCAAGCTCTTGTACCAGGCACGCTTCTGGACCACGCAAGGTCTTGGATCAGGCAAGCTCCTAGACCAGGCAAGCTCCTAGACCAGGCAAGCTCGTGGACCAGGCAAGCTCCTGGACCAGGCAAGCTCCTGGACAAAGCAAGCTCTTGGACCAGGCACGCTCGTGGACCAGGCACGCTCCTGGACCAGGCAAGCTCTTGGACCAGGCAGGCTCGTGGACCAGGCACGCTCCTGGACCAGGCAAGCTCCTCAACCAGGCAAGCTCCTGGACAAGGCAAGCTCCTGGACGAGGCACGCTCGTGGACTAGGCACGCTCCTGGACCAGGCAAGCTCCTGGTTAAGGCAAGCTCCTGGACCATGCAAGCTCTTGGACTAGGTACGCTCGTGGACCAGGCAAGCTCTCGGACCAGTCACGCTTCTGGACCAAGCCAGCTCTTGGACCAGGCAAGCTCCTGGACCAGGCACGCTCCAGGACCAAGCAAGCTCCTGGACCAGGCAAACTCCCGGACCAGGCAAGCTCCTGGACCAGGCAAGTTCCTGGACCAGGCAAGCTCCTGGACCTGGCAAGCTCCTGGACCAGGCAAGCTCCTGGACAAAGCAAGCTCTTGGACCAGGCACGCTCGTGGACCAGGCACGCTCCTGGACCAGGCAAGCTCTTGGACCAGGCAAGCTCGTGGACCAGGCACGCTCCTGGACCAGGCAGGCTCCTCAACCAGGCAAGCTCCTGGACAAGGCAAGCTCCTGGACGAGGCACGCTCGTGGACTAGGCACGCTCCTGGACCAGGCAAGCTCCTGGTTAAGGCAAGCTCCTGGACCATGCAAGCTCTTGGACTAGGTACGCTCCTGGACCAGGCACGCTCCTGGACCAAGCAAGCTCCTGGACCAGGCAAACTCCCGGACCAGGCAAGCTCCTGGACCAGGCAAGCTCCTGGACCGGGCAAGTTCCTGGACCAGGCAAGCTCCTGGACGTGGCAAGCTCCTGGACCAGGCAAGCTCCTGGACCAGGCACGCTCGTAGACAAGGCACCCTCTTGGACGAGGCAAGCTCTTGGACTAGGCAGGCTCGTGGACGAGGCACGCTACGGACCATGCACGCTCGTGGACCAGGCACGATCGTGGACCAGACAAGCTCCTGGACCAGGCAAGCTCCTGGACCACGCAAGCTCTTGGACCAGGCACGCTCTCAGACCAGGCAAGCTCTTAGATGAGCCAAGCTTCTAGACCAAGGAAGCTCCTGGACCAAGCAAGCTCCTGGATCAGGCAAGCTCCTGGTCCAGGCAAGCTCCTGGACCAGGTTAGCTCTTGGACCAGGCAAGCTCCTGGACCAGGCAAGCTCCTGGACCAGGCAAGCTCCTGGACCAGGCAAGCTCCTGGACCACGCAAGCTCTTGGACCAGGCACGCTCCTGGACCAGGCAAGCTCCTGGACCAGGCAAGCTCTTTGACTAGGCACGCTTCTGGACCAAGCGAGCTCCTGGACCAGGCAAGCTCCGAGACCACGCAAGCTCCTCGACAAGGCAAGCTCTTGGACCAGGCAGGCTTCTGGACCAAGCAAGCTCCTGGACTAGGCAAGCTCCGGGACTAGGCACGCTCCTAAACCACGCAAGCTCCTACGGGAGAATGGGGTGGGGTGATGGAAAGCGAGAGAATGGGGCGGGGTGATGGAAAGCGGGAGAATGGGGAGGGCTGATGGAAAGCGGGAGAATGGGGCAGGGTGATCAAAGGAGGGAGAATGGGGCGGGTTGATGGAAAGCGGGAGAATGGGGCGGGGTGATGGAAGGAGGGAGAATGGGGCGGGGTGATGGAAGGAGGGAGAAGGGGGCGGGGTGATGGAAAGCGGAAGAATGGCGCGGGGTGGTTGAAAGCGGGAGAATGGGGCGGGGTGATGGAAAGCGGGAGAATGGGGCGGGGTGATGGAAAGCGGGAGAATGGTGCGAGGTGATGGAAAGCGGGAGAATGGGGCAGGGTGATGGAAAGCGGGAGAATGGGGCGGGGTGAAGGAAGGAGGGAGAACGGGGCGGGGTGATGGAAGGAGGAAGAAGGGGGCGGGGTGATGGAAAGCGAGAGAATGGGCCGGGGTGTTGGAAAGCGGGAGAATGGGGCGGGGTGATGAAAAGCGGGAGAATGGGGCGGGGTGATGGAAAGTGGGAGAATGGGGCGGGGTGATGGAAAGCGGGAGAATGGGGCGGGTGATGGAAAGCGGGTGAATGGGGCAGGGTGATGGAAAGCGGGAGAATGGGGCAGGGTGATGGAAAGCAGAAGAATGGGGCGGGGTGATGGAAAGCGGGAGAATGGGGCGAGGTGATGGAAAGCGGGAGAATGGGGCGGGGTGATGGAAAGCGGGAGAATGGGGCAGGGTGATGGAAAGCAGAAGAATGGGGCGGGGTGATGGAAAGCGGGAGAATGGGGCGGGGTGATGGAAAGCGGGAGAATGACGCGGGGTGATGGAAAGCGGGAGAACGGGGCGGGGTGATGGAAAGCAGGAGAATGGGGCGGGGTGATGGAAAGCGGAAGAATGGGGCGGGGTGATGGAAAGCGGGAGAAGGGGGCGGGGTGATGGAAAGCGGGAGAATGGGGCGGACCGATTGAAGGAAGGAGAATAGGGTTTAGGGTTTAAGGGTTTAGGGTTTAGGGAGGAGGGAGAATGGGGCGGGGTGATGGAAGGAGGGAGAATGGGGCGGGGTGATGGAAAGCAGGAGAATGGGGCGGGATGATGGAAAGCAGGAGAATGGGGCGGGGTTATGGAAAGCGGGAGAATGGGGCGGGGTGATGGAAAGTGGGAGAATGGGGCGGGGTGATGGAAAGCGGGAGAATGGGGCGGGGTAATGGAAAGCGGGAGAATGGGGCGGGGTGATGGAAGGAGGGAGAATGAGGCGGGGTGATGGAAGGAGGGAGAATGGGGCTGGGTGATGGAAAGCGGGAGAATGGGGCGGGGTGATGGGAAGCGGGAGAATGGGGCGGGGTGATGGAGAGCGGGAGAATGGGGCGGGGTGATGGAAAGCGGGAGAATGGGACGGGGTTATGGGAAGCGGGAGAATGGGGCGGGGTGATGGAAAGCGGGAGAATGGGGCGGGGTGATGGAAGGAGGGAGAATGGGGCGGGGTGATGGAAGGAGGGAGAATGGGGCGGGGTGATGGAAGGAGGAAGAAGGGGGCGTGGTGATGGAAAGCGGGAGAATGGGGCGGGGAGATGGAAAGCGGGAGAAAGGGGCGGGGTGATGGAAAGCGGGGGAATGGGGCGGGCTGATGGAAAGCGGGAGAATGGGGCGGGGTGATGGAAGGAGGGAGAATGGGGCGGGGTGATGGAAGGAGAGAGAAGGGGGCGGGGTGATGGAAAGTGGGAAAATGTGGCGGGGTGATGGAAACCGGAAGAATGGGGTGGGGTTATGGGAAGCGGGAGAATGGGGCGGGGTGATGGAAAGCGGGAGAATGGAGCGGGGTGATGGAATGAGGGAGAATGGGGCGGGGTGATGGAAGGAGGGAGAATGGGGCAGGGTGATAGAAAGCGGGAGAATGGGGCGGGGTGATGGAAGGAGGGAGAATGGGGCGGGGTGATGGAAAGCGGGAGAATGGGGCGGGGTGATGGAAAGCGGGAGAATGGGGCGGGGTGATGGAAAGCGAGAGAATGGGGCGGGGTGATGGAAGGAGGGAGAATGGGGAGGGGTGATGGAAAGCGGGGGAATGGGGCGGGATGATGGGAAGCGGAAGAATGGGGCGGGGTGATGGAAAGCGGGAGAATGGGGCGGGGTGATGGAAAGCGGGAGAATGGGGTGGGGAGATGGAAAGCGGGAGAAAGGGGAGGGGTGATGGAAAGCGGGAGAATGGGGCGGGCTGATGAAGAGCGGGAGAATGGGGTGGGGTGATGGAAGGAGGGAGAATGGGGCGGGGAGATGGAAGGAGAAAGAAGGGGGCGGGGTGATGGAAAGTGGGAGAATGTGGCGGGGTGATGGAAAGCGGGAGAATGGGGTGGGGTTATGGGAAGCGGGAGAATGGGGCGGGGTGATGGAAAGCGGGAGAATGGGGCGGGGTGATGGAAGGAGGGAGAATGGGGCGGGGTGATGGAAGGAGGGAGAATGGGGCGGAGTGATGGAAAGCGGGAGAATGGGGCGGGGTGATGGAAGGAGGGAGAATGGGGCGGGATGATGGAAAGCGGGAGAATGGGGCGGGGTGATGGAAAGCGGGAGAATGGGGCGGGGTGATGGAAAGCGGGAGAATGGGGCGGGGTGATGGAAAGCGGGAGAATGGGGCGGGGTGATGGAAAGCGGGAGAATGGGGCGGGGTGATGGAAGGAGGGAAAATGGGGCGGGGTGATAGAAAGCGGGAAAATGTGGCGGGGTGATGGAAAGCGGGAGAATGGGGTGGGGTGATGGGAAGCGGGAGAATGGGGCGGGGTGATGGAAAGCGGGAGAATGGGGCGGGCTGATGGAAAGCGGGAGAATGGGGCGGGGTGATGGAAGGAGGGAGAATGGGGCGGGGTGATGGAAGGAGGGAGAAGGGGGCGGGGTGATGGAAAGCGGGAGAATGGGGCGGGGTGATGGAAAGCGGGAGAATGGGGCGGGGTGATGGAAAGCGGGAGAATGGGGCGGGGTGATGGAAAGCTTGAGAATGGGGCGGGGTAATGGAAAGCGGGAGAATGGGGCGGAGTGATAGAAAGCGGGAGAATGGGGCGGGGTGATGGAAGGAGGGAGAATGGGGCGGGGTGATGGAAGGAGGGAGAATGGGGCGGGGTGATAGAAAGCGGGAGAATGGGGCGGGGTGATGGAAAGCGGGAGAATGGGACGGGGTGATGGAAAGCGGGAGAATGGGGCGGGGTGATAGAAAGCGGGAGAATGGGGCGGGGTGATGGAAAGCGGGAGAATGGGGCGGGGTGATGGAAAGCGGGAGAATGGGGCGGGGTTATGGAAAGCGGGAGAATAAGGCGGGGTGATGGAAAGAGGGAGAATGGGGCGGGGTGATGGAAAGCGGGAGAATGGGGCGGGGTGATGGAAAGCGGGAGAATGGGGCGGGCTGATAGAAAGCGGGAGAATGGGGCGGGGTGATGGAAGGAGGGAGAATGGGGCGGGGTGATGGAAGGAGGGAGAAGGGGGCGGGGTGATGGAAAGCGGGAGAATGGGGCGGGGTGATGGAAAGCGGGAGAATGGGGCGGGGTGATGGAAAGCGGGAGAATGGGGCGGGGTGATGGAAAGCTTGAGAATGGGGCGGGGTGATGGAAAGCGGGAGAATGGGGCGGAGTGATAGAAAGCGGGAGAATGGGGCGGGGTGATGTAAGGAGGGAGAATAGGGCGGGGTGATGGAAGGAGGGAGAATGGGGCGGGGTGATGGAAGGAGGGAGAATGGGGCGGGGTGATAGAAAGCGGGAGAATGGGGCGGGGTGGTGGAAAGCGGGAGAATGGGACGGGGTGATGGAAAGCGGGAGAATGGGGCGGGGTGATAGAAAGCGGGAGAATGGGGCGGGGTGATGGAAAGCGGGAGAATGGGGCGGGGTGATGGAAAGCGGGAGAATGGGGCGGGGTTATGGAAAGCGGGAGAATAAGGCGGGGTGATGGAAAGAGGGAGAATGGGGCGGGGTGATGGAAAGCGGGAGAATGGGGCGGGGTGATGGAAAGCGGGAGAATGGGGCGGGATGATGGGAAGCGGGAGAATGGGGAGGGGTGATGGAAAGAGGGAGAATGGGACAGGGTGATGAAAAGCGGAAGAATGGGGCGGGGCGATGGAAAGAGGAAGGATGGGGTGGGGTGATGGAAAGAGGGAGAATGGGGCGGGGTGATGAAAAGAGGGAGAATGAGTTGGAAAGCGGGAGAATGGGGCAGTTGGGAGTGATGGGTCATAAGCGGGAGCTGAGACTCCGAATCATACAACCCGTGGACAACTCATTCTCCCGTCATGACATGTCCCGTGGGGTGATATTTCATGAAAGAAGAAATGTCATCGCTTATTCCGTGGACGCTTCGTCCACCTCCACAAGCATGGGGCGTCCCCCTTCTCCCCATTCTCCCGCTTTCCATCACCCCGCCCCATTCTCCCGCTTTCCATCACCCCGCCCCATTCTCCCTCTTCCCATTACCCGCCCCATTCTCCCGCTTTCCATCATCCCGCCCCATTCTCCCGCTTTCCACCACCCCGCCCCATTCTCCCGATTTCTATCACCCCGCCCCTCTCCCGCTTTCCATCACTCCGCCCCATTCTCCCGGTTTCCATCACCCCGCTCCATTCTCCCGCTTTCCATCACCCCGCCCTATTATCCCTCTTTCCATCAAACCGCCCCATTCTCCCTCTTTCCATCACCCCGCCCCTTTCTCCCGCTTTCCATCACCCGCCCCATTTTCCCGATTTCCGTCACCCCGCCCCATTCTCCCGCTTTCCATCACCCCGCCCCATTCTCCCGCTTTCCATCACCCCGCCCCATTCTCCCGCTTTCCATCACCCCGCCCCATTCTCCCGCTTTCCATCACCCCGCCCCATTCTCCTGCTTTCCATCACCCCGCCCCATTCTCCCTCTTTCCATCACCCCGCCCCATTCTCCCGCATTCCTTCACCCCGCCCCATTTTCCCTCGTTCCATCACCCCGCTCCATTCTCCCGCTTTCCATCACCCCGCCCAGTTCTCCCTCTTTCCATCACCCCTCCCCATTGTCCCTCTTTCCATCACCCCGCCCCATTCTCCCGCTTTCCATCACCCCGCCCCATTCTCCCTCTTTCCACCACCCCGCCCCATTCTCCCTCTTTCCATCACCCCACCCCATTCTCCCGCTTTCCATCACCCCGCCCCATTCTCCCTCTTTCCATCACCCCGCCCAATTCTCCCTCTTTCCATCACCCCTCCTCATTCTCCCTCTTTCCATCACCCCGCCCCATTCTTCCGCTTTCCACCACCCCGCTCCATTCTCCCGCTTTCCATCACCCCGCCCAATTCTCCCGCTTTCCATCACCACGCCCCATTTTCCCTCTTTCCATCACCCCGCCCCATTCTCCCGCTTTCCATCACCCCGCCCCATTCTCCCGCTTTCCATCACCCCGCTCCATTCTCCCGCTTTCCATCACCCCCCCCCAATTCTCCCTCTTTCTATCACCCCTCTCCATTCTCCCTCTTTCCATCACCCCGCCCCATTCTCCCGCTTTCCATCACCCCGCCCCATTCTCCCTCTTTCCATCACCCCGCCCCATACTCCCTCTTTCCATCACCCCGCCCCATTCTCCCGCTTTCCATCACCCTGCCCCATTCTCCCGCTTTCCATCACCCCGCTCCATTCTCCCGCTTTCCATCACCCCGCCCAATTTCCCCTCTTTCCATCACCCCTCCCCATTCTCCCTCTTTCCATCTACCCGCCCCATTCTCCCGCTTTCCATCACCCCGCCCCATTCTCCCTCTTTCCATCACCCCGCCCCATTCTCTCGCTTTCCATCACCCCGCCCCATTCTCCCTCTTTCCATCACCCCGCCCCATTCTCCCGCTTTCCATCACCCGCCCCATTCTCCCGCTTTCCATCATCCCGCCCCATTCTCCCTCTATCCATCACCCCGCCCCATTCTCCCGCCTTCTATCACCCCGCCCCATTCTCCCGCTTTCCATCACCCCGCCCGCTTTCCATCACCCCGCTCCATTCTCCCGCTTTCCATCACCCCGCCAAATTCTCCCTCTTTCCATCACCCCTCCCCATTCTCCCTCTTTCCATCAAACCGCCCCATTCTCCCGCTTTCCATCACCCTGGCCCATTCTCCCTCTTTCCATCACCCCGCCCCATTCTCTCGCTTTCCATCACCCCGCCCCATTCTCCCTCTTTCCATCACCCCGCCCCATTCTCCCGCTTTCCATCACCCGCCCCATTCTCCCGCTTTCCATCACCCCGCCCCATTCTCCCTCTTTCCATCACCCCGCTCCATTCTCCCGCCTTCCATCACCCCGCCCCATTCTCCCGCTTTCCATCACCCCGCCCCATTCTCCCGCTTTCCATCACCCCACCCCATTCTCCCGATTTGCATCACCCCGCCCCATTCTCCCGCCTTCCATCACCCCGCCCCATTCTCCCTCTTTCCATCACCCCGCCCCATTCTCCCGCTTTCCATCACCCCGCCCCATTCTCCCTCTTTCCATCACCCCTCCTCATTCTCCCTCTTTCCATCACCCCGCCCCATTCTCCCGCTTTCCACCACCCCGCTCCATTCTCCCGCTTTCCATCACCCCGCCCAATTCTCCCGCTTTCCATCACCACGCCCCATTTTCCCTCTTTCCATCACCCCGCCACATTCTCCCGCTTTCCATCACCCCGCCCCATTCTCCCGCTTTCCATCACCCCGCTCCATTCTCCCGCTTTCCATCACCACCCCCAATTCTCCCTCTTTCTATCACCCCTCTCCATTCTCCCTCTTTCCATCACCCCGCCCCATTCTCCCGCTTTTCATCACCCCGCCCCATTCTCCCTCTTTCCATCACCCCGCCCCATTTTCCCGCTTTCCATCACCCCGCCCCATTCTCCCGCTTTCCATCACCCTGCCCCATTCTCCCGCTTTCCATCACCCCGCTCCATTCTCCCGCTTTCCATCACCCCGCCCAATTTCCCCTCTTTCCATCACCCCTCCCCATTCTTCCTCTTTCCATCAACCCGCCCCATTCTCCCGCTTTCCATCACCCCGCCCCAATTCTCCCTCTTTCCATCACCCCGCCCCATTCTCTCGCTTTCCATCACCCCGCCCCATTCTCCCTCTTTCCATCACCCCGCCCCATTCTCCCGCTTTCCATCACCCGCCCCATTCTCCAGCTTTCCATCATCCCGCCCCATTCTCCCTCTATCCATCACCCCGCCCCATTCTCCCGCCTTCTATCACCCCGCCCCATTCTCCCGCTTTCCATCACCCCGCCCGCTTTCCATCACCCCGCTCCATTCTCCCGCTTTCCATCACCCCGCCAAATTCTCCCTCTTTCCATCACCCCTCCCCATTCTCCCTCTTTCCATCAAACCGCCCCATTCTCCCGCTTTCCATCACCCTGGCCCATTCTCCCTCTTTCCATCACCCCGCCCCATTCTCTCGCTTTCCATCACCCCGCCCCATTCTCCCTCTTTCCATCACCCCACCCCATTCTCCCGCTTTCCATCACCCGCCCCATTCTCCCGCTTTCCATCACCCCGCCCCATTCTCCCTCTTTCCATCACCCCGCTCCATTCTCCCGCCTTCCATCACCCCGCCCCATTCTCCCGCTTTCCATCACCCCGCCCCATTCTCCCGCTTTCCATCACCCCACCCCATTCTCCCGATTTGCATCACCCCGCCCCATTCTCCCGCCTTCCATCACCCCGCCCCATTCTCCCTCTTTCCATCACCCCGCCCCATTCTCCCGCTTTCCATCACCCCGCCCCATTCTCCCTCTTTCCATCACCCCGCCCCATTCTCCCGCTTTCCATCACACCACCTCATTCTCCCGCTTTCCATCACCTCGCCCTATTTTCTCTCTTTCCATCACCCCGCTCCATTCTCCCGCCTTCCATCACCCCGCCCCATTCTCCCGCTTTCCATCACCCCGCCCCATTCTCCCGCTTTCCATCACCCCACCCCATTCTCCCGATTTGCATCACCCCGCCCCATTCTCCCGCTTTCCATCACCCCGCTCCATTCTCCCGCTTTCCATCAACCGCCCAATTCTCCCTCTTTCCATCACCCCTCCCCATTCTCCCTCTTTCCATCACCCCGCCCCATTCTCCTTCTTTCCATCACCCCGCACCATTCTCCCGCTTTCCATCACCCCTCCCCATTCTCCCGTTTCCATCACCCCGCCCCATTCTCCCTCTTTCCATCACCTCGCCCCATTCTCCTGCTTTCCATCACCCCTCCCCATTCTCCCGCTGTCCATCACCCCGCCCCATTCTCCCGCTTTCCATCACCCCGCCCCATTCTCCCGCTTTCCATCACCCTGCCCATTCTCCCTCTTTCCATCACCCCGCCCCATTCTCCCTCTTTCCATCCCTCCGCCCCATTCTCCCTCTATCCATCTCCCCGCCCAATTCTCCCGCTTTCCATCACCCCGTCCCATTCTCCCGCTTTCCATCACCCGCCCCATTCTCCCGCTTTCCATCACCCCGCCCCATTCTCCCGCTTTCCACCACCCCGCGCCATTCTCCCGCTTTCCATCACCCCGCCCCATTCTCCCTCTTTCCATCACCCCGCCCCATTCTCCCGCTTTCCACCACCCCGCCCCATTCTCCCGCTTTCCACCACCCCGCCCCATTCTCCCGCTTTCCATCACCCCGCCCCATTCTCCCTCTTTCCATCACCCCGCCCCATTCTCCCGCTTTCCACCACCCCGCCCCATTCTCCCGCTTTCCACCACCCCGCCCCATTCTCCCGCTTTCCATCACCCCGCCCCGTTCTCCCGCTTTCCATCACCCCGCCCCATTCTCCCGCTTTCCATCACCCCGCCCCATTCTCCCGCTTTCCATCACTTCGCCCAATTCTCTCGATTTCCATCACCCCGCCCCTTTCTCCCGCTTTCCATCACCCCGCCCCATTCTCCCGCTTTCCATCACCCCGCTCCATTCTCCCGCTTTCCGTCACCCCGCACCATTCTCCCGCTTTCCATCACCCCGCACCATTCTCCTGGTTTCCATCACCCCGCTCCATTCTCCCGCTTTCCATCACCTCGCCCAATTCTCCCTCTTTCCATCACCCCACCCCATTCTCCGTCTTTCCATCACCCCGCCCCATTCTCCCGCTTTCCATCACCCCGCCCCGTTCTCCCGCTTTCCATCACCCCGCCCCATTCTCCCTCTTTCCATCACCCCGCCTCGTTCTCCCGCTTTCCGTCACCCCGCCCCGTTCTCCCGCTTTCCATCACCCCGCCCCATTCTCCCCCTTTCCATCACCCCGCCCCATTCTCCCCCTTTCCATCACCCCGCCCCATTCTCCCTCTTTCTATCAGCCCGCCCCATTCTCCCTCTTTCCATCACCCCGCCCCATTCTCCCGCTTTCCATCACCCCGCCCCATTCTCCCGCTTTCCATCACCCCGCCCCATTCTCCCTCTTTCCATCACCCTGCCCCATTCTCCCTCTATCCATCACCCCGCCCAATTCTCCCGCTTTCCATCACCCCGTCCCATTCTCCCGCTTTCCATCACCCCGCCCAATTATTTCTCTTTCCATCACCCCTCCCAATTCTCCCTCTTTCCATCACCCCGCCCCATTCTCCCGCTTTCCATCACCCCGCCCCATTCTCCCTCTTTTCATCACCCCGTCCCATTCTCCCGCTTTCAATCACCCCGCCTCATTCTCCCTCTTTCCATCACCCCGCCTCATTCTCCCGCTTTCCATCACCCCGCCCCATTCTCCCTCTTTCCATCACCCCGCTCCATTCTCCCGCTTTCCATCACCCCGCCCAATTCTCCCTCTTTCCATCACCCCTCCTCATTCTCCCTCTTTCCATCACCCCGCTCCATTCTCCCGCTTTCCATCACCCCACCAGCCAGTTGAGTTGCTCCCAGCACCCCCACCAGCCAGGTGAGTTGCTCCCAGCACCCCCACCAGCCAGACGAGTTGCTCCAGGCACCCCCACCAGCCAGGCGAGTTGCTCTCAGCACCCCCACCAGCCAGGCGAGTTGCTCCCAGCACCCCCACCAGCCAGTTGAGTTGCTCCCAGCACCCCCACCAGCCAGTTGAGTTGCTCTTAGCACCCCCACCAGCCACGTGAGTTGCTCCCAGCACCCCCACCAGCCAGGCGAGTTGCTCCCAGCACCTGCACCAGCCAGGTGAGTTGCTCCCAGCACCTCCACCAGCCAGGCGAGTTGCTCACAGCACCCCCACCAGCCAGGCGAGTTGCTCCCAGCACCCCCACCAGCCAGGCGAGTTGCTCCCAGCACCCCCACCAGCCAGGCGAGTTGCTCCTAGCAACCCCACCAGCCAGTTGAGTTGCTCCCACCACCCCCACCAGCCAGGTGAGTTGCTCCCAGCACCCCCACCAGCCAGGTGAGTTGCTCCCAGCACCCCCACCAGCCAGGCGAGATGATGGAAAGCAGGAGAATGGGGCGGGGTGATGGAAAGCGGGAGAATGGGGCGGGGTGATGGAAAGCGGGAGAATGGGGAGGTGATGGAAAGCAAGAGAATGGGGCGGGGTGATGGAAAGAGGGAGAATGGGGCGGGGTGATGGAAAGCGGGAGAATGGGGCGGGGTGATGGAAAGTGGGGGAATGGGGAGGTGATGGAAAGCGGGAGAATGGGGCGGGGTGATGGAAAGAGGGAGAATGGGGCAGGGTGATGGAAAGCGGGAGAATGGGGCGGGGTGATGAAAAGTTGGAGAATGGGGCGGTGTGATGGAAAGCAGGAGAATGGGGCGGGGTGATGGAAATTGGGAGAATGGGGCGCCGTGATGGAAAAAGGGAGAATGGGGCGGGGTTATGGAAAGCGGGAGAATGGGGCGGGGTGATGGAAAGCGGGAGAACTGGGGCGGGGTGATCGAAAGCGGGAGAATGGGGCGGGGTGATGGAAAGAGGGAGAATGGGGCGGGGTGATGGAAAGCGGGAGAATGGGGCGGGGTGATGGACACCGGGAGAATGGGGAGGGGTGATGGAAAGCAGGAGAATGGGGCGGGGTGATGGAAAGAGGGAGAATGGGGCGGGGTGATGGAAAGCGGGAGAATGGGGCGGGGTGATCGAAAGCAGGAGAATGGGGCGGGGTGATGGAAAGAGGGAGAATGGGGCGGCGTGATGGAAAGCGGGAGAATGGGGCAGGGGTGATGGAAAGTGGGAGAATGGGGCGGGGTGATGGAAAGAGGGATAATGGGGCGGGGTGATGGAAAGATGGAGAATGGGGCGGGGTGATGGAAAGAGGGAGAATGGGGTGGGGTGATGGAAAGAGGGAGAATTGGGCGAGGTGATGGAAAGCGGGAGAATGGAGCGGGGTGATGGAAACCAGGAGAATGGTGCAAGGTGATGGAAAGCGGGAGAATGGTGCGGGGTGACGGAAAGCGGGAGAATGGAGCGGGGTGATGGAAAGAGGGAGAATGGGGCGGGGTGATGGAAAGCGGGAGAATGGGGCGGGGTGATGGAAAGAGGGAGAATGGGGCAGGGTGATGGAAGACGGGAGAATGGGGTGGGGTGATGGAAGGCGGGAGAATTGGGCAGGGTGATGGAAAGATGGAGAATGGGGCGGGGTGATGGAAGGCGGGAGAGTGGGGCGGGGTGATGTAAAGATGGAGAATGGGGCGGGGTGATGGAAAGCGGGAGAATGGAGCGGGGTGATGGAAAGAGGGAGAATGGGGCGGGGTGATGGAAAGCAGGAGAATGGGGCGGGGTGATGGAAAGCGGGAGAATGGGGCGGGGTGATGGAAAGCGGGAGAACGGGGCGGGGTGATGGAAGGAGGGAGAATGGGGCGGGGTGATGGAAAGCGGGAGAATGGGGCGGGGTGATGGAAAGCGGGAGAATGGGGCGGGGTGATGAAAAGCGGGAGAATGGGGCGGGATGATGGAAAGCGGGAGCATGGGGCGGGGTGATGGAAAGCGGGAGAATGGGGCGGGGAGATGCAAAGCGGGAGAAAGGGGCGGGGTGATGGAAAGCGGGATAATGGGACGGGCTGATAGAAAGTGGGAGAATGGGGCGGGGTGATGGAAGGAGGGAGAATGGGGCGGGGTGATGGAAAGCGAGAGAATGGGGCGGGGTGATGGAAAGCGGGAGAATGGGGCGGGGTGATGGAAAGAGGGAAAATGGCGCGGGGTGATGGAAAGCGGGAGAATGGGGTAGGGTGATGGAAGGAGGGAGAATGGGGCGGGGTGATGGAAAGCGGGAGAATGGGGCGGGGTGATGGAAAGCGGGAGAATGGGGTGGAGTGATGGAAAGCGGGAGAATGGGGCGGGGTGATGGAAAGCGGGAGAATGGGGCGGGGTGATGGAAAGCGGGAGTGGGGTGGGGTGATGGAAAGCGGGAGAATGGGGCGGGGTGATGGAAAGCGGGTGAATGGGGCGGGGTGATGGAGGGCGTGAGAATGGGGCGAGGTGATGGAAAGCGGGAGAATGGGGCGGGGTGATGGAGAGCAGGAGAATGGGGCGGGGTGATGGAAAGCGGGTGAATGGGGCGGGGTGATGGAAAGCGTGAGAATGGGGCGAGGTGATGGAAAGCGGGAGAATGGGGCGGGGTGATGGAGAGCGGGAGAATGGGGCTGGGTGATGGAAGGAGGGAGAATGGGGAGGGGTGACGGAAAGGAGCGGAATGGGGCGGGATGATGGGAAGCGGGAGAATGGGGCGGGGTGATGGAAAGCGGGAGAATGGGGTGGGGTTATGGAAAGCGGGAGAACGGGGCGGGGAGATGGAACGCGGGAGAATGGGGCGGGGTGATGGAAAGCGGGAGAATGGGGCGGGCTGATGGAAAGCGGGAGAAAGGGGCGGGGTGATGGAAGGAGGGAGAATGGGGCGGGGTGATGGAAGGAGGGAGAAGGGGGCGGGGTGATGGAAACCGGGAGAATGGGGCGGGGCAATGGAAAGCGGGAGAATGGGGCGAGGTGATGGAAAGCGGGAGAATGGGGCGGGGTGATGGAATGCGGAAGAATGGGGTGGGGTGATGGAAAGCGGGAGAATGGGGCAGGGTGATGGAAAGCGGGAGAATGGGTCAGGGTGATGGAATGCGGGAGAATGGGGCGGGGTGATGGAATGCGGGAGAATGGGGCGAGGTGATGGAAGGAGGGAGAATGGGGCGGGGTGATGGAAAGTGGAAGAATGTGGCGGGGTGATGGAAAGCGGTAGAATGGGGCGGGGTGATGGAAGGAGGGAGAATGGGGCGGGGTGATGGAAAGAGGGAGAATAGGGCGGGGTGATGAAAAGCGGGGGAATGGGGCTGGATGATGGAAAGCGGGAGAATGGGGCGGGGTGACGGAAAGAGGGAGAATGGGGCAGGGTGATGGAAATCGAGAGAATTGGGCGGGGTGATGGAAAGTGGGAGAATGGGTCGGGGTGATGGAAAGCGGGAGAATGGGGCGGGGTGATGGAAGGAGGGAGAATGGGGCGGAGTGATGGAAAGCGGGAGAATGGGGTGGGGTGATGGAAAGCGGGAGAATGGGGCGGGGTGATGGAAAGCGGGAGAATAGGGCGGGGTGATGGAAAGCGGGAGACTGGGGTGGGGTGATGGAAAGCGGGAGAATGGGGCGGGTGATGGAAAGCAGGAGAATGGGGCGGGGTGATGGAAAGCGGGAGAATGGGGCGGGGTGATGGAAAGCGGGAGAATGGAGCGAGGTGATGGAAAGCGGGAGAGTGGGGTGGGGTGATGGAAGGAGGGAGAATGGGGCAGGGTGATGGAAAGCGGGAGAATGGGGCGAGATGATGGGATGCGGGAAAATGGGGCGGGGTAATGAAAAGCGGGAGAATGGTGCGGGGTGATGGAAAGCGGGAGAATGGGCGTGTGATGGAAAGCGGAGAATGGGGCGGGGTGATGGAAAGCGGGAGAATGGGGCGAGGTGATGGAAAGCGGGAGAATAAGGCGGGGTGATGGAAAGCGGGAGAATGGGGTGGGGTGATGGAAATTGGGAAAATAGGGCGGGGTGATGGATGGAGGGAGAATGGGGCGGGGTCATGGAAGGAGGGAGAATGGGGCAGGGTGATGGAAAGCAGGAGAATGGGGAGGGGTGATGGAAAGCGGGAGAATGGTGCGGGGTGATGGAGAGCAGGAGAATGGGGTCGGGTGATGGAAAGCGGGAGAATGGGGTGGGGTGATGGAAGGAGGGAGAATCTGGCAGGGTGATAGGAAGCGGGAGAATGGGGCAGGTTGATGGAAAGCGGGAGAATGGGGCAGGGTGATGGAAAGCGGGAGAAAGGGGCGAGGTGATGGAAAGTGGTAGAATGGGGCGGGGAAATGGAAAGCGGGAGAATGGGGCGGGGTGATGGAAGGAGGGAGAATGGGGACGGGTGATAGAAGCGGGAGAATGGGGCGGGTTGATGGGAATCGGGAGAATGAGGCAGGGTGATGGAAAGCGGGAGAATGGGGCGGCTGATGGAAAGCTGGAGAATGGGGCGGGGTGATGGAAAGCGGGAATATGGGGTGGGGTGATGGAAAGCGGGAGAATGGGGTGGGGTGATGGAAAGCGGGAGAATGGGGCGGGGTGATGGAAAGCGGGGGAATGGGGCGGGTTATGGAAAGCTGGAGAATGGGGCGGGGTGATGGAAAGCGGTGGAATGGGGCGGGCTGATAGAAAGCGGGAAAATGGGGCGAGGTGATGGAAGGAGGGAGAATGGGGCGGGATGATGGAAGGAGGGAGAATGGGGCAGGGCGATGGAAGGAGGGAGAATGGGGCGGGCTGATGGAAAGTGGGAGAATGTGGCTGGGTGATGGAAAGCGGGAGAATGCGGCCGGGTGATGGAAAGCGGGAGAATGGGGCGGGGTGATGGAAAGCGGGAGAATGAGGCGGGGTGATGGAAGGAGGGAGAGTGGGGCGGGGTGATGGAAAGCGGGAGAATGGGGCGGGGTGATGGAAAGCGGGAGAATGGGCCGGGGTGATGGGAAGCGGGAGAATGGGGCAGGGTGATGGAAAGCGGGAGAATGGGGCGGGGTGATGGAAAGCGGGAGAATGGGGTGGAGTGATGGAAAGCGGGAGAATGGGGCGGGGTGATGGAAAGCGGGAAAATGGGGCGGGGTGATAGAAAGCGGGAGAATGGGGCGGGGTGATGGAAAGAGGGAGAATGGGGCGGGGTGATGGAATGCGGGAGAATGGGGCGGGGTGATGGAAAGCGGGAGAATGGGGCGGGGTGATGGAAAGAGGGAGAATGGGGCGGGGTGATGGAAAGAGGGAGAATGAGGCGGGGTGATGGAGAGAGGGAGAATGGGGCGGGGTGATGGAAAGAGGTAGAATGGGGCAGAGTGATGGAAAGCGAGAGAATGGGGCGGGGTGATGGAAAGCGAGAGAATGGGGTGGGGTGATGGAAAGCGGGAGAATGGGACGGGGTGATGGAAAGAGGGAGAATGGGGCTGGGTGATGGAAAGCGGGAGAATAGGGCGGGGTGATGGAAAGCGGGAGAATGGGGCGGGGTGATGGAAAACGGGGGAATGGGGCGGGGTGATGGAAAGCGGGAGAGATTCTGCTCAACTGCATCGACTGTGGGATGGGATGATGAGACTGGTGGTTGAAACCTGGTGATTGGTAATAAACGTGTTATTTCCAGACATCTCAAAGTAACTCTTTCATCACGTGGCTGGTGAGATGAAAGTAACTCTTTCATCAGATGGTGAGATGAAAGTTATTATTCGTCAGATGGTGAGATGAAAGTAACTCTTTGAACAGGTGGTGAGATGAAAGTAACTCTTCCATCAGATGGTGAGATGAAAGTAACTCTTCCATCAGATGGTGAGATGAAAGTATTTCTTTCGTCAGATAGTGAGATGAAAGTTATTATTCATCAGATGGTGAGATGAAAATAACTCTTTCATCAGATGGTGAGATGAAAGTAACTCTTTCATCAGATGGTGAGATGAAAGTAACTCTTTCATCAGATGGTGAGATGGAAGTTATTATTCATCAGATGGTGAGATGAAAGTAACTCTTTCATCAGATGGTGAGATGGAAGTACCTCTTTCATCAGATGGTGAGATGAAAGTACCTCTGTCATCATGTGCCTGGTGTCCTCCGATCCGCAGTGAGTTTCCCTGTCATCGCTAGTGTGGGGCACGGGCTCATTTTCCTCATGTACTTGCCCCCCTTCCCCCTCCTCCCTCTGCTGGTCAGGGCCAAGGCTTTCGACCTTGACCTGGTGGGCCTGGTGTCGTCAAGCCCTCAAGCCCTCAAGCCCTAAAGCCTTCAAGCCTTCAAGCCTTCAAGCCTTCAAGAATTCAAGCCTTCAAGCCCTCAAGCCCTCAAGCCCTCAAGCCCTCAAGCCCTCAAGCCCTCAAGCCCTCAAGCCCTCACGCCCTCACGCCCTCAAGCCCTCAAGCCCTCACGTCCTCAAGCCCTCAAGCCTTCAAGCCCTCAAGCCTTCAAGCCATCAAGCACTCAAGCCTTCAAGCCCTCAAGCCCTCAAGCCTTCAAGCCTTCAAGCCCTCAAGCCCTCAAGCCTACAAGCCTTCAAGCCCTCAAGCCCTCAAGCCTTCAAGCCTTCAAGCCCTCAAGCCTTCAAGCCTTCAAGCCTTCAAGCCCTCAAGCCCTCAAGCCCTCAAGCCTTCAAGCCCTCAAGCCCTCAAGCCCTCAAGCCCTCAAGCCCTCAAGCCTTCAAGCCTTCAAGCCTTCAAGCCTTCAAGCCTTCACGCCCTCAAGCCCTCAAGCCCTCAAGCCCTCAAGCCCTCAAGCCCTCAAGCCCTCAAGCCCTCAAGCCTTCAAGCCTTCAAGCCTTCAAGCCCTCAAGCCCTCAAGCCTTCAAGCCTTCAAGCCTTCAAGCCTTCAAGCCCTCAAGCCCTCAAGCCCTGAAGCCCTAAAGCATTCAAGCCTTCAAGCCTTCAAGCCTTCAAGCCCTCAACCCATCAAGCCTTCAAGCCCTCAAGCCCTCAAGCCCTCAAGCCCTCAAGCCCTTAAGCACTCAAGCCCTCAAGCCTTCAAGCCTTCAAGCCTTCAAGCCTTCAAGTCCTCAAGCCCTCAAGCCCTCAAGCCTTCAAGCCCTCAAGCCCTCAAGCCTTCAAGCCTTCAAGCCTTCAAGCCTTCAAGCCTTCAAGCCTTCAGGCCCTCAAGCCCTCAAGCCTTCAAGCCCTCAAGCCCTCAAGCCCTCAAGCCTTCAAGCCTTCAAGCCTTCAAGCCTTCAAGCCCTCAAGCCATCAAGCCTTCAAGCCCTCAAGCCCTCAAGCCCTAAAGCCCTCAAGCCCTTAAGCACTCAAGCCCTCAAGCCTTCAAGCCTTCAAGCCTCCAAGCCTTGAAGCCTTCAAGTCCTCAAGCCCTCAAGCCCTCAAGCCTTCAAGCCCTCAAGCCCTCAAGCCTTCAAGCCTTCAAGCCTTCAAGCCTTCAAGCCCTCAAGCCTTCAAGCCCTCAAGCCTTCAAGCCCTCAAGCCCTCAAGCCCTCAAGCCTTCAAGCCTTCAAGCCCTCAAGCCCTCAATCCCTCAAGCCCTCAAGCCCTCAAGCCTTCAAGCCCTCAAGCCTTCAAGCCTTCAAGCCCTCAAGGCCCCATTCTCCCGCTTTCCATCACCCCGCCCCATTCTCCCGCTTTCCATCACCCCGCCCCATTCTCCCGCTTTCTATCACCCCGCTCCATTCTCCCGCTTTCCATCAACCCGCCCCATTCTCCCGCTTTCTATCACCCCGCCCCATTCTCCCTCTTTCCTTCACCCCGCCCCATTCTCCCGCTTCCCATCACCCCGTCCCATTCTCCCTCTTCCCATCACCCCGCCCCATTCTCCCACTTTCGATCACCCCACCCCATTCTCCCGCTTTTTATCACCCCGCCCCATTCTCCCGCTTTCCTTCACCCCTCCCCATTCCCTGGCTTCCCATCACCCTGCCCCATTCTCCCTCTTCCCATCACCCCGACCCATTCTCCCGCTTTCCATCACCCCGCCCCATTCTCCCGCTTTCCATCACCGCGCCCCATTCTCCCCCATCACCCCACCCCATTCTCCTGCTTTCCATCACCCCGCCCCATTCTACCTCTTTCCATCACCCTGCCCCATTCTCCCGCTTTCCATCACCCCGCCCCATTCACCCGCTTTCCATCACCCCGCCCCATTCTCCCGCTTTCTATCACCCCGCTCCATTCTCCCGCTTTCCATCACCTCGCCCCATTCTCCCGCTTTCCATTACCCCGCCCTATTCTCCCGCTTTCCATCAACCCGCCCATTCTCCTGCTTTCCATCACCCCGCCCCATTCTCCCGCTTTCCATCACCCCGCCCCATTCTCCCGCTTTCCATCACCCCGCCCCATTCTCCCTCTTTCCATCACCCCGCCCCATTCTCCCTCTTTCCTTCACCCCGCCCCATTCTCCCGCTTCCTATCACCCCGCCCCGTTCTCCCTCTTCCCATCACCCCGCCCCATTCTCCTGCTTTCCATCACCCCGCCCCATTCTCCCGCTTTCCATCACCCCGCCCTATTCTCCCGCTTTCCTTCACCCCGCCCCATTCCCCCGCTTCCCATCACCCCGGCCCATTCGCCCTCTTCCCATCACCCCGCCTCATTCTCCCGCTTTCCATCACCCCGCCCCATTCTCCTGCTTTCCATCACCCCGCCCCATTCTCCCTCTTTCCATCACCCCACCCCATTCTCCTGCTTTCCATCACCCCGCCCCATTCTCCCTCTTTCCATCACCCCGCACCATTCTCCCGCTTTCCATCACCCCGCCCCATTCTCCCGCTTTCCATCACCCCGCCCCATTCTCCCGCTTTCCATCACCCCGCCCCATTCTCCCGCTTTCCATCACCCCGCCCCATTCTCCCGCTTTCCATCACCCCGCCCCATTCTCCCGCTTTCCATCACCCCGCCCCATTCTCCCACTTTCCATCACCCCGCCCCATTCTCCTGCTTTCCATCACCCCGCCCCATTCTCCCTCTTTCCATCACCCCACCCCATTCTCCTGCTTTCCATCACCCCGCCCCATTCTCCCTCTTTCCATCACCCGCCCCATTCTCCCGCTTTCCATCACCCCGCCCCATTCTCCCGCTTTCCATCACCCCGCCCCATTCTCCCGCTTTCCATCACCCCGCCCCATTCTCCCTCTTTCCATCACCCCGCCCCATTCTCCCGCTTTCCATCACCCCGCCCCATTCTCCCGCTTTCCATCACCCCGCCCCATTCTCCCGCTTTCCATCACCCCGCCCCATTCTCCCGCTTTCCGTCACCCCGCCCCATTCTCCCGCTTTCCATCACCCCGCCCCATTCTCCCACTTTCCATCACCCCGCCCCATTCTCCCGCTTTCCATCACCCCGCCCCATTCTCCCGCTTTCCGTCACCCCGCCCCATTCTCCCGCTTTCCATCACCCCGCCCCATTCTCCCACTTTCCATCACCCCGCCCCATTCTCCCGCTTTCCATCACCCCGCCCCATTCTCCCCCTCTCCATCACCTCGCCCCATTCTCCCGCTCTCCATCACCTTGCCCCATTCTCCCACTTTCCATCATCCCGCCCCATTCTCCCGCTTTCCATCATCCCGCCCCATTCTCCCTCCTCCCATCACGTCGCCCCATTCTCCCGCTTTCCATCACCCCGCCTCATTCTCCCGCTTTCCATCACCCCGCCCCATTCTCCCGCTTTCCATCACCCCCCCCCATTCTCCCGCTTTCCATCACCCCGCCCCATTCTCCTGCTTTCCATCACCCCGCCCCATTCTCCCTCTTTCCATCACCCCACCCCATTCTCCTGCTTTCCATCACCCCGCCCCATTCTCCCTCTTTCCATCACCCCGCACCATTCTCCCGCTTTCCATCACCCCGCCCCATTCTCCCGCTTTCCATCACCCCGCCCCATTCTCCCGCTTTCCATCACCCCGCCCCATTCTCCTGCTTTCCATCACCCCGCCCCATTCTCCCTCTTTCCATCACCCCACCCCACTCTCCTGCTTTCCATCACCCCGCCCCATTCTCCCTCTTTCCATCACCCGCCCCATTCTCCCGCTTTCCATCACCCCGCCCCATTCTCCCGCTTTCCATCACCCCGCCCCATTCTCCCGCTTTCCATCACCCCGCCCCATTCTCCCTCTTTCCATCACCCCGCCCCATTCTCCCGCTTTCCATCACCCCGCCCCATTCTCCCGCTTTCCATCACCCCGCCCCATTCTCCCGCTTTCCATCACCCCGCCCCATTCTCCCGCTTTCCGTCACCCCGCCCCATTCTCCCGCTTTCCATCACCTCGCCCCATTCTCCCACTTTCCATCACCCCGCCCCATTCTCCCGCTTTCCATCACCCCGCCCCATTCTCCCGCTTTCCGTCACCCCGCCCCATTCTCCCGCTTTCCATCACCCCGCCCCATTCTCCCACTTTCCATCACCCCGCCCCATTCTCCCGCTTTCCATCACCCCGCCCCATTCTCCCCCTCTCCATCACCTCGCCCCATTCTCCCGCTCTCCATCACCTTGCCCCATTCTCCCACTTTCCATCATCCCGCCCCATTCTCCCGCTTTCCATCATCCCGCCCCATTCTCCCTCCTCCCATCACGTCGCCCCATTCTCCCGCTTTCCATCACCCCGCCTCATTCTCCCGCTTTCCATCACCCCGCCCCATTCTCCCGCTTTCCATCACCCCGCCCCATTCTCCCGCTTTCCATCACCCCGCCCCATTCTCCCTCTTTCCATCACCCCGCCCCATTCTCCCGCTTTCCATCACCCCGCCCCATTCTCCCGCTTTCCATCACCCCGCCCCATTCTCCCGCTTTCCATCACCCCGCCCCATTCTACCGCTTTCCGTCACCCCGCCCCATTCTCCCGCTTTCCATCACCCCGTCCCATTCTCCCACTTTCCATCACCCCGCCCCATTCTCCCGCTTTCCATCACCCCGCCCCATTCTCCCGCTCTCCATCACCTCGCCCCATTCTCCCGCTCTCCATCACCTTGCCCCATTCTCCCGCTTTCCATCATCCCGCCCCATTCTCCCACTTTCCATCATCCCGCCCCATTCTCCCTCCTCCCATCACGTCGCCCCATTCTCCCGCTTTCCATCACCCCGCCTCATTCTCCCGCTTTCCATCACCCCGCCCCATTCTCCCGCTTTCCATCACCCCGCCCCATTCTCCCGCTTTCCATCACCCTGCCCCATTCTCCCGCTTTCCATCACCCCACCCCATTCTCCCGCTTTCCATCACCCCGCCCCATTCTCCCGCTTTCCATCACCCCGCCCCATTCTCTCGCTTTCCATCACCCGCCCCATTCTCCCACTTTCCATCACCCCTCCCCATTCTCCCTCCTTCCATCACCCCGCCCCATTCTCCCTCCTTCCATCACCCCGACCCATTCTCCCTCCTTCCATCACCACGCCCCATTCTCCCGCTTTCCATCGCCCCACCCCATTCTCCCACTTTGCATCACCCCGCCCCATTCTCCCGCTTTCCATCACCCCGACCCATTCTCCCGCTTTCCATCACCCTGCCTCATTCTCCGGCTTTCCATCACCCCGCCCCATTCTCCCGCTTTCCATCACCCCGCCCCATTCTCCCGCTTTCCATCACCCCGCCCCATTCTCCCTCCTTCCATCACCCTGCCCCATTCTCCCTCCTTCCATCACCCCGGCCCATTCTCCCGCTTTCCATCACCCCGCCCCATACTCCTGCTTTCCATCACCCCGCCCCATTCTCCCGCTTTCTATCACCCCGCCCCATTCTCCCTCCTTCCATCACCCCGCCCCATTCTCCCTCCTTCCATCACCCCACCCCATTCTCCTGCTTTCCATCACCCCGCCCTATTCTTCCGCATTCCATCACCCAGCCCCATTCTCCCGCTTTCCATCACCTCGCCCCATTTTCCTGCTTTCCGTCACCCCGCCCCATTCTCCCGCTATCCATCACCCCGCCCCATTCCCCCGCTTTCCATCACCCCTCCCCATTCTCCCGCTTTCCATCACCCCGCCCCATTCTCCCGCTATCCATCAGCCCGCCCCATTCTCCCGCTTTCCATCACCCCGCCCCATTCTCCCGCTTTCCATCACCCCGCACCATTCTCCCGCTTTCCATCACCCCGCCCAAATCCCCCTCCTTCCATCACCCCGCCCCATTCTCCCGCTTTCCATCACCCTGCCCAATTCTCCCGCTTTCCATCACCACGCCTTATTCTCCCGCTTTCCATCACCCCGCCCCATTCTCCCGCTTTCCATCACCCCGCCCCATTCTCCCGCTTTCCATCACCCCGCCCCATTCTCCCTTCTTCCATCACCTCGCCCCATTCTCCCTCCTTCCATCACCCCGCCCCATTCTCCTGCTTTCCATCACCCCGCCCCATTCTTCCGCATTTCATCACCCAGCCCCATTTTCCCGCTTTCCGTCACCCCGTCCCATTCTCCCGCTATCCATCACCCCGCCCCATTCCCCCACTTTCCATCACCCCGCCCCATTCTCCCGCTTTCCATCACCCCGCCCCATTCTCCCGCTTTCCATCACCCCGCCCCATTCTCCCGCTTTCCATCACCCCTCCCCATTCTCCTGCTTTCCATCACCCTGCCCCATTCTCCCTCCTTCCATGACTCCGCCCCATTCTCCCTCCTTCCATTACCCCGCCCCATTCTCCCGCTTTCCATCACCCCGCCCCATTCTCCCGCTTTCCATCACCCCGTCCCATTCTCCCGCTTTCCATCATTACGCCCCATTCTACAGCTTTCCATCACCCCGTCCCATTCTCCCTCTTTCCATCACCTCGCCCCATTCTCCCGCTTTCCATCACCCCGCCAGATTCTCCCGCTTTCCATCACCCCGCCCCATTCTCCCGCTATCCATCACCCCGCCCCATTCTCCCGCTTTCCATCACCCCGCACCATTCTCCCGCTTTCCATCACCCCGCACCATTCTCCCGCTTTCCATCACCCCGCCCCATTCCCTCTCCTTCCATCACCCCGCCCCATTCTCCCGCTTTCCATCACCCCGCCCAATTCTCCCGCTTTCCATCACCACGCCTTATTCTCCCGCTTTCCATCACCCCGCCCCATTCTCCCGCTTTCCATCACCCCGCCCCATTCTCCCGCTTTCCATCACCCCGCCCCATTCTCCCTTCTTCCATCACCTCGCCCCATTCTCCCTCCTTCCATCACCCCGCCCCATTCTCCTGCTTTCCATCACCCCGCCCCATTCTTCCGCATTTCATCACCCAGCCCCATTCTCCCGCTTTCCATCACCCCGCCCCATTTTCCTGCTTTCCGTCACCCCGCCCCATTCTCCCGCTATCCATCACCCCGCCCCATTCCCCCACTTTCCATCACCGCGCCCCATTCTCCCGCTTTCCATCACCCCGCCCCATTCTCCCGCTTTCCATCACCCCGCCCCATTCTCCCGCTTTCCATCACCCCTCCCTATTCTCCTGCTTTCCATCACCCTGCCCCATTCTCCCTCCTTCCATGACCCCGCCCCATTCTCCCTCCTTCCATTACCCCGCCCCATTCTCCTCCTTTCCATCACCCCACCCCATTCTCCCGCTTTCCATCACCCCGTCCCATTCTCCAGCTTTCCATCACCCCGTCTCATTCTCCCTCTTTCCATCACCCCGCCCCATTCTCCCTCATTCCATCACCCCGCCCCATTCTCCCGCTTTCCATCACCCCGCCCCATTCTCCCGCTTCCCATAACCCCACCCCATTCTCTCGCTTTCCATCACCCCGCCACATTTTCCCACTTTCCATCACCCCGCCCCCTTCTCTCTCCTTCCATCACCCCGCCCCATTCTCCCTCCTTCCATCACCCCGCCCCATTCTCCCGCTTTCCATCAGCCCGCCCCATTCTCCCGCTTTCCATCACCCCGCCCCTTTCTCCCGCTTTCCATCTCCCTGCCCCATTCTCCCGCTTTCCATCACCCCGCCCCATTCTCCCGCTTTCCATCACCCCGCCCCATTCTTCCGCTTCCCATCATCCCGCCCCATTCCACCACTTTCCATCACCCCTCCCCATTCTCCCCCTTTCCATCACCCTGCCCCATTCACCCGCTTTCCATCACCTCGCCCCATTCTCCCGCTTTCCATCACCCCGCCTCAATCTTCTGCTTTCCATCACCCCGCCCCATTCTCCCGCTTTCCATCACCCTGCCCCATTCACCCGCTTTCCATCACCCGCCTCATTCTCCCGCTTTCCATCACCCCGCCCCATTCTCCCGCTTTCCATCACCCCGCTCCATTCTGCCGCTTTCCATCCCCCCGCCCCATTCTCCCGCTTTCCATCACCCCGCCCTATTCTCCCGCTTTCCATCACTCCGCCCCATTCTCCCGCTTTCCATCACCCCGACCCATTCTCCCACTTTCCATCACCCCGCCCCAGTCTCCCTCCTTCCATCACCCTGCCTCATTCTCCCTCCTTCCATCACCCCGCCCCATTCTCCCGCTTTCCATCACCCCGCCCTATTCTCCCGCTTTTCATCACCCCGCCCCATTCTCCCGCTTTCCAATACCCCGCCCCATTTTCTCGCCTTCCATCACCCCGCCCCATTCCTCCCGCTTTCCAATCACCCCGCCCCATTTCTCGCCTTCCATCACCCCGCCCCATTCTCCCTCCTTTCCATCACCCCGCCCCCTTCTCCCTCCTTTCCATCACCCCGCCCCATTCTCCCGCTTTCCATCACCCCGCCCCATTCTCTCGCTTTCCATCACCCCGCCTCATTCTCCCGCTTTCCATCACCCCGCCCCATTCTCCCTCCTTCCATCACCCCGCCCCATTCTCGTGCTTTCCATCACCTCGCCCCATTCTCCCTCCTTCCATCACCCCGCCCCATTCTCCCTCCTTCCATCACCCCGCCCCATTCTCCCGCTTTTGCATCACCTCGCCCCATTCTCCCGCTTCCCATAACCCCACCTCATTCTCCCGCTTTCCATCACCCCACCCCATTCTCCCGATTTCCATCACCCCGCCCCATTCTCCCGCTCTCCATCACCCCGCCCCATTCTCCCGCTTTCCATCACCCCGCCCCATTCTCCCGCTTTCCATCATCCCGCCCCATTCTCCCTCCTTCCATCACCCCGCCCCATTCTCCCACTTTCCATCACTCCGCCCCATTCTTCCCTCCTTCCATCACCCCGCCCCATTCTCCCTCCTTCCATCACCCCGCCCCATTCTCCCGCTTTCCATCGCCCCGCCCCATTCTCCCGCTTCCCATAACCCCACCCCATTCTCCCGCTTTCCATCACCCCGCCACATTCTCCCACTTTCCATCACCCGGCCCCCTTGTCTCTCCTTCCATCACCCCGCCCCATTCTCCCTCCTTCTATCACCCCGCCCCATTCTCCCTCCTTCCATCACCCCGCCCCATTCTCCCGCTTTTGCATCACCCCGCCCCATTCTCCCGCTTCCCATAACCCCACCTCATTCTCCCGCTTTCCATCACCCCAACCCCTTCTCCCGATTTCCATCACCCCACCCCATTCTCCCGCTTTCCATCACCCCGCCCCATTCTCCCGCTTTCCATCACCCCGCCTCATTCTCCCGCTTTCCATCAGCCCGCCCCATTCTCCCGCTTTCCATCACCCCGCCCCATTCTTCCGCTTCCCATCATCCCGCCCCATTCCCCCGCTTTCCATCACCCCTCCCCATTCTCCCTCCTTCCATCACCCCGCCCCATTCTCCCCCTTTCCATCACCCGCCCCATTCTCCCGCTTTCCATCACCTCGCCCCATTCTCCCGCTTTCCATCACCCTGCCCCATTCTTATGCTTTCCATCACCCCGCCCCATTCTCCCGCATTCCATCACCCTGCCCCATTCACCCGCTTTCCATCACCCGCCCCATTCTCCCGCTTTCCATCACCCCGCCCCATTCTCCCGCTTTCCATCACCCCGCCCCATTCTCCCGCTTTCCATCACCCCGCCCCATTCTTCCTCCTTCCATCACCCCGCCCCATTCTCCCGCTTTGCATCACCCCGCCCCATTCTCCCTCCTTCCATCACCCTGCCCCATTCTCCCGCTTTCCATCACCCCGCCCTGTTCTCCCGCTTTCCATCACCCCGCCCCATTCTTCCTCCTTCAAACACCCCGCCCCATTCTCCCGCTTTCCATCACCCCGCCCCAGTCTCCCTCCTTCCATCACCCCGCCCCATTCTCCCGCTTTCCATCACCTCGCCCCATTCTCCCTCATTCCATCACCCCGCCCCATTCTCCCGCTTTCCATCACCCCGCCCCATTCTCCCGCTTCCCATAACCCCGCCCCATTCTCCCGCTTTCCATCACCTCGCCACATTTTCCCACTTTCCATCACCCCGCCCCCTTCTCTCTCCTTCCATCACCCCGCCCCATTCTCCCTCCTTCCATCACCCCGCCCCATTCTCCCGCTTTCCATCAGCCCGCCCCATTCTCCCACTGTCCATCACCCCGCCCCTTTCTCCCACTTTCCATCACCCCGCCCCATTCTCCCGCTTTCCATCACCCCGCCCCATTCTCCCGCTTTCCATCACCCCGCCCCATTCTCCCGCTTTCCATCAGCCCGCCCCATTCTCCCGCTTTCCATCATCCCGCCCCTTTCTCCCGCTTTCCATCAGCCCGCCCCATTCTCCCGCTTTCCATCACCCCGCCCCCTTCTCCCGCTTTCCATCACCCCGCCCCATTCTCCCACTTTCCATCACTCCGCCCCATTCTCCCGCTTTCCATCACCCCGACCCATTCTCCCACTTTCCATCACCCCGCCCCATTCTCCCGCTTTCCATCACCCAGCCCCATTCTCCCGCTTTCCATCACCCCGCCCCATTTTCCCGCTTTCCATCACCCCGCCCCATTCTCCCGCTTTCCATCACCCTGCCCCAATCTCCCGCTTTCAATTACCCCACCCCATTCTCCCTCCTTCCATCACCCCGCCCCATTCTCCCGCTTTCCATCACCCCGCCCCATTCTCCCGCTTTCCATCACCCAGCCCCATTCTCCCGCTTTCCATCACCCCGCCCCATTCTCCCGCTTTCCATCACCACGCCCCATTCTCCCGCTTTCCATCACCCCGCCCCATTCTCCCGCTTTCCATCACCCCGCCCCATTCTCCCGCTTTCCATCACCCCGCCCCATTCTCCCGCTTTCCATCAGCCCGCCCCATTCTCCCGCTTTCCATCATCCCGCCCCTTTCTCCCGCTTTCCATCAGCCCGCCCCATTCTCCCGCTTTCCATCACCCCGCCCCCTTCTCCCGCTTTCCATCACCCCGCCCCATTCTCCCACTTTCCATCACTCCGCCCCATTCTCCCGCTTTCCATCATCCCGACCCATTCTCCCACTTTCCATCACCCCGCCCCATTCTCCCGCTTTCCATCACCCAGCCCCATTCTCCCGCTTTCCATCACCCCGCCCCATTTTCCCGCTTTCCATCACCCCGCCCCATTCTCCCGCTTTCCATCACCCTGCCCCAATCTCCCGCTTTCAATTACCCCACCCCATTCTCCCTCCTTCCATCACCCCGCCCCATTCTCCCGCTTTCCATCACCCCGCCCCATTCTCCCGCTTTCCATCACCCTGCCCCAATCTCCCGCTTTCAATTACCCCACCCCATTCTCCCTCCTTCCATCACCCCACCCCATTCTCCTGCTTTCCATCACCCCGCCCCATTCTCCCTCCTTCCATCACCCCGCCCCATTCTCCCTCCTTCCATCAGCCCGCCCCATTCTCCCGCTTTCCATCACCCCGCCCCATTCTCCCGCTTTCCATCACCCCGCCCCATTCTCCCGCTTTCCATCAGCCCGCCCCATTCTCCCGCTTTCCATCATCCCGCCCCTTTCTCCCGCTTTCCATCAGCCCGCCCCATTCTCCCGCTTTCCATCACCCCGCCCCCTTCTCCCGCTTTCCATCACCCCGCCCCATTCTCCCACTTTCCATCACTCCGCCCCATTCTCCCGCTTTCCATCACCCCGACCCATTCTCCCACTTTCCATCACCCCGCCCCATTCTCCCGCTTTCCATCACCCAGCCCCATTCTCCCGCTTTCCATCACCCCGCCCCATTTTCCCGCTTTCCATCACCCCGCCCCATTCTCCCGCTTTCCATCACCCTGCCCCAATCTCCCGCTTTCAATTACCCCACCCCATTCTCCCTCCTTCCATCACCCCGCCCCATTCTCCCGCTTTCCATCACCCCGCCCCATTCTCCCGCTTTCCATCACCCTGCCCCAATCTCCCGCTTTCAATTACCCCACCCCATTCTCCCTCCTTCCATCACCCCACCCCATTCTCCTGCTTTCCATCACCCCGCCCCATTCTCCCTCCTTCCATCACCCCGCCCCATTCTCCCTCCTTCCATCAGCCCGCCCCATTCTCCCGCTTTCCAACACCCCGCCCCATTCTCCCGCTTCGCATAACCCCACCCCCTTCTCCCGCTTTCCATCACCGTCGCCACATTCTCCCGCCTTCTATCACCCCGCCCCATTCTCCCTCCTTCCATTACCCCGCCCCATTCTCCCGCTTTCCATCACCCCGCCCCATTCTCCCGATTTCCATCACCCCGCCCCATTCTCCCGCTTTCCATCACCCCGCCCCATTCTCCCGCTTTCCATCACCCCGCCCCATTCTCCCGATTTCCATCATCCCGCCCCATTCTCCCTCCTTCCATCACCTCGCCCCATTCTCCCGCTTTCCATCACTCCGCCCCATTCTCCCTCCTTCCATCACCCCGCCCCATTCTCCCGCTTTCCATCACCCCGCCCCATTCTCCCGCTTCCCATAACCCCACCCCATTCTCCCGCATTCCATCACCCCGCCACATTCTCCCACTTTCCATCACCCCGCCCCCTTCTCTCCCCTTCCATCACCCCGCCCCATTCTCCCTCCTTCCATCACCCCGCCCCATTCTCCCGCTTTCCATCAGCCCGCCCCATTCTCCCTCTTTCCATCACCCCTCCCCTTTCTCCCGCTTTCCATCTCCCCGCCCCATTCTCCCGCTTCCCATCACCCCGCCCCATTCTCCCGCTTTCCATCACCCCGCCCCATTCTTCCGCTTCCCATCATCCCGCCCCATTCCCCCGCTTTCCATCACCCCTCCCCATTCTCCCTCCTTCCATCACCCCGCCCCATTCTCTCGCTTTCCATCACCCCGCCCCATTCGCCCGCTTTCCATCACCCCGCCCCATTCTCCCGCTTTCCATCACCCCGCCCCATTCCTCCTCCTTCCATCACCCCGCCCCATTCTCCCGCTTTGCATCACCCCGCCCCATTCTCCCTCCTTCCATCACCCTGCCCCATTCTCCCGCTTTCCATCACCCCGCCCTGTTCTCCCGCTTTCCATCACCCCGCCCCATTCTTCCTCCTTCCATCACCCCGCCCCATTCTCCCGCTTTCCATCACCCCGCCCTAGTCTCCCTCCTTCCATCACCCCGCCCCATTCTCCCGCTTTCCATCACCCCGCCCCATTCTCCCTCATTCCATCACCCCGCCCCATTCTCCTGCTTTCCATCACCCCGCCCCATTCTCCCGCTTCCCATAACCCCACCCCATTCTCCCGCTTTCCATCACCTCGCCACATTTTCCCACTTTCCATCACCCCGCCCCCTTCTCTCTCCTTCCATCACCCCGCCCCATTCTCCCTCCTTCCATCACCCCGCCCCATTCTCCCGCTTTCCATCAGCCCGCCCCATTCTCCCACTGTCCATCACCCCGCCCCTTTCTCCCGCTTTCCATCACCCCGCCCCATTCTCCCGCTTTCCATCACCCCGCCCCATTCTCCCGCTTTCCATCACCCCGCCCCATTCTCCCGCTTTCCATCAGCCCGCCCCATTCTCCCGCTTTCCATCACCCCGCCCCTTTCTCCCGCTTTCCATCAGCCCGCCCCATTCTCCCGCTTTCCATCACCCCGCCCCCTTCTCTCGCTTTCCATCACCCCGCCCCATTCTCCCACTTTCCATCACTCCGCCCCATTCTCCCGCTTTCCATCACCCCGACCCATTCTCCCACTTTCCATCACCCCGCCCCATTCTCCCTCCTTCCATCACCCCGCCTCATTCTCCCTCCTTCCATCACCCCGCCCCATTCTCCCGCTTTCCATCACCCCGCCCCATTCTCCCGCTTTCCATCACTTAGCCCCATTCTCCCGCTTTCCATCATCCCGCCCCATTTTTCCGCTTTCCATCACTCTGCCCCATTCTCCCGCTTTCCATCACCCTGCCCCAATCTCCCGCTTTCCATCACCCCGCCCCATTCTCCCTCCTTCTATCACCCCGCCCCATTCCCCCGCTTTCCATCACCCTGCCCCAATCTCCCGCTTTCCATCACCCCACCCCATTCTCCCTCCTTCCATCACCCCGCCCCATTCTCCCGCCTTTCATCACCCAGCCCCATTCTCCCGCTTTCCATCACCCCGCCCCATTCTCCCGCTTTCCATCACCCCGCCCCATTCTCCCGCTTTCCATCACCCCGCCCCATTCTCCCTCCTTCCATCACCCCGCCCCATTCTCCCGCTTTCCATCACCCCGCCCCATTCTCCCCTTTCCATCACCCCACCCCATTCTCCCTCCTTCCATCACCCCGCCCCCATTCACCCTCTTTCCATCACCCCGCCCCATTCTCGCGATTTCCGTCACCTCGCCCCATTCTTCCTCTTTCCATCACCCCGCCCCATTCTTCCTCTTTCGATCTCCCCGCCCCATTCTCCCTCTTTCCATCACCCCGCCCCATTCTCCCTCTTTCCATCACCCCGCCCCATTGTCCCTCTTTCCATCACCCCGCCCCATTCTCCCGATTTCCGTCACCCCGCCCCATTCTCCCTCTTTCCATATTCCCGCCCCATTCTCCCGATTTCCATCACCCCGCCCCATTTCTCACGCTTTCCTCCATCACCCCGCCCTATTCTCCCTCTATCCATCACCCCGCCCAATTCTCCCACTTTCCATCACCCCGTCCCATTCTCCCGATTTCCATAACCCCGCCCCATTCTCCCGCTTTCCATCACCTCGCGCCATTCTCCCGCTTTCCATCACGCCGCCCCATTCTCCCGCTTTCCAAAACCTCGCCCCATTCTCCCGCTTTCCATCACCCCGCCCCATTCTCACTCTTTCCAACACCTCGCCCCATTCTCCCTCTTTCCATCACCCGCCCCATTCTCCCGCTTTCCATCACCCCGCCCCATTCTCCCTCTTTCCATAACCTCGCCCCATTCTCCCGCTTTCCATCACCCCGCCCCATTCTCCCTCTTTCCATCACCCCGCCCCATTCTCCCTCTTTCCATCACCCCGCCCCATTCTCCCGCTTTCCATCACCCCGCCCCATTCTCCCTCTTTCCATAACCCCGCCCCATTCTCCCGCTTTCCATCACCCCGTCCCATTCTCCCTCTTTCCATCACCCCGCCCCATTCTCCCGCTTTCCATCACCCCGCCCCATTCTCCCGCTTTCCATCACCCCGCCCCATTCTCCCTCTTTCCATCACCCCGCCCCATTCTCCCTCTTTCCATCACCCCGCCCCATTCTCCCTCTTTCCATCACCCCGCCCCATTCTCCCGCTTTCCGTCACCCCGCCCCATTCTCCCACTTTCCATCACCCCGTCCCATTCTCCCGCTTTCCAACACCCCGCCCCATTCTCCCGCTTTCCATCACCCAGCCCCATTTACCCGCTATCCATCACCCCGCCCGCTTTCCATCACCCCGCTCCATTCTCCCGATTTCCATCACCCCGCCCAATTCTCCCTCTTTCCATCACCCCTCCCCATTCTCCCTCTTTCCATCAAACCGCCCCATTCTCCCGCTTTCCATCACCCCGGCCCATTCTCCCTCTTTCCATCACCCCGCCCCATTCTCTCGCTTTCCATCACCCCGCCCCATTCTCCCTCTTTCCATCACCCCGCCCCATTCTCCCGCTTTCCATCACCCGCCCCATTCTCCCGCTTTCCATCACCCCGCCCCATTCTCCCTCTTTCCATCACCCCGCCCCATTCTCCCGCTTTCCTTCACCCCACCCCATTCTCCCGATTTGCATCACCCCGCCCCATTCTCCCGCCTTCCATCACCCCGCCCCATTCTCCCTCTTTCCATCACCCCGCCCCATTCTCCCGCTTTCCATCACCCCTCCCCATTCTCCCTCTTTCCATCACCCCGCCCCATTCTCCCGCTTTCCATCACACCACCCCATTCTCCCGCTTTCCATCACATCGCCCTATTTTCTCTCTTTTCATCACCCCGCCCCATTCTCCCGCTTTCCATCACCCCGCCCCATTCTCCCGCTTTCCATCACCCTGCTACATTCTCCCGCTTTCCATCAACCCGCCCAATTCTCCCTCTTTCCATCACCCCTCCCCATTCTCCCTCTTTCCATCACCCCGCCCCATTCTCCGCTTTCCATCACCCCGCGCCATTCTCCCGCTTTCCATCATCCCGCTCCATTGTCCCGCTTTCCATCACCCCGTCCCATTATCCCTCTTTCCATCACCCCGCCCCATTCTCCCGCTTTCCATCACCCCGCCCCATTCTACCTCTTTCCATCTCCCCGCCCCATTCTCCCTCTTTCCATCACCCCGCCCCATTCTCCCTCTTTCCATCACCCCGCCCCATTCTCCCTCTTTCCATCACCCCGCCCCATTCTCCCGCTTTCCGTCACCCCGCCCCATTCTCCCACTTTCCATCACCCCGTCCCATTCTCCCGCTTTCCAACACCCCGCCCCATTCTCCCGCTTTCCATCACCCAGCCCCATTTACCCGCTATCCATCACCCCGCCCGCTTTCCATCACCCCGCTCCATTCTCCCGATTTCCATCACCCCGCCCAATTCTCCCTCTTTCCATCACCCCTCCCCATTCTCCCTCTTTCCATCAAACCGCCCCATTCTCCCGCTTTCCATCACCCCGGCCCATTCTCCCTCTTTCCATCACCCCGCCCCATTCTCTCGCTTTCCATCACCCCGCCCCATTCTCCCTCTTTCCATCACCTCGCCCCATTCTCCCGCTTTCCATCACCCGCCCCATTCTCCCGCTTTCCATCACCCCGCCCCATTCTCCCTCTTTCCATCACCCCGCCCCATTCTCCCGCTTTCCTTCACCCCACCCCATTCTCCCGATTTGCATCACCCCGCCCCATTCTCCCGCCTTCCATCACCCCGCCCCATTCTCCCTCTTTCCATCACCCCGCCCCATTCTCCCGCTTTCCATCACCCCGCCCCATTCTCCCTCTTTCCATCACCCCGCCCCATTCTCCCGCTTTCCATCACACCACCCCATTCTCCCGCTTTCCATCACATCGCCCTATTTTCTCTCTTTCCATCACCCCGCCCCATTCTCCTGCTTTCCATCACCCCGCTACATTCTCCCGCTTTCCATCAACCCGCCCAATTCTCCCTCTTTCCATCACCCCTCCCCATTCTCCCTCTTTCCATCACCCCGCCCCATTCTCCCGCTTTCCATCACCCCGCGCCATTCTCCCGCTTTCCATCACCCCGCCCCATTCTCCCGCTTTCCATCACCCCGCCCCATTCTCCCTCTTTCCATCACCTCGCCCCATTCTCCTGCTATCCATCACCCCTCCCCATTCTCCCGCTGTCCATCACCCCGCCCCATTCTCCCGCTTTCGATCACCTCGCCCCATTCTCCCGCTTTCTATCACCCTGCCCATTCTCCCTCTTTCCATCACCCCGCCCCATTCTCCCTCTTTCCATCACTCCGCCCCATTCTCCCTCTATCCATCACCCCGCCCAATTCTCCCGCTTTCCATCACCTCGTCCCATTCTCCCGCTTTCCATCACCCGCCCCATTCTCCCGCTTTCCATCACCCCGCCCCATTCTCCCGCTTTCCACCACCCCGCGCCATGCTCCCGCTTTACATCACCCCGCCCCATTCTCCCTCTTTCCATCACCCCGCCCCATTCTCCCGCTTTCCATCACCCCGCCCCATTCTCCCTCTTTCCATCACCCCGCCCCATTCTCCCGCCTTCCATCACCCCGCCCCGTTCTCCCGCTTTCCATCACCCCGCCCCATTCTCCCGCTTTCCATCACCCCACCCCATTCTCCCGATTTGCATCACCCCGCCCCATTCTCCCGCCTTCCATCACCCCGCCCCATTCTCCCTCTTTCCATCACCCCGCCCCATTCTCCCGCTTTCCACCACCCCGCCCCATTCTCCCTCTTTCCATCACCCCGCCCCATTCTCCCGCTTTCCATCACACCACCTCATTCTCCTGCTTTCCATCACCTCGCCCTATTTTCTCTCTTTCCATCACACCACCTCATTCTCCCTCTTTCCATCAGCCCTCCCCATTCTCCCTCTTTCCATCAAACCGCCCCATTCTCCCGCTTTCCATCACCCCGGCCCATTCTCCCTCTTTCCATCACTCCGCCCCATTCTCTCGCTTTCCATCACCCCTCCCCATTCCCCCTCTTTCCATCACCCCGCCGCATTCTCCCGCTTTCCATCACCCGCCCCATTCTCCCGCTTTCCATCACCCCGCCCCATTCTCCCTCTTTCCATCACCCCGCCCCATTCTCCCGCCTTCCATCACCCCGCCCCATTCTCCCTCCTTCCATCACCTCGCCTCATTCTCCCTCCTTCCATCACCCCGCCCCATTCTCCCGCTTTCCATCACCCCGCCCCATTCTCCCGCTTTCCATCACCCAACCCCATTCTCCCGCTTTCCATCACCCCGCCCCATTCTCCCGCTTTCCATCACCCTGCCCCAATCTCCCGCTTTCCATCACCCCGCCCCATTCTCCCGCTTTCCATCACCCTGCCCCATTCTCCCGCTTTCCATCACCCCACTCCATTCTCCCGCTTTACATCACCCAGCCCCATTCTCCCGCTTTCCATCACCCCGCCCCATTCTCCCGCTTTCCATCACCCCACCCCATTCTCTCTCCTTCCATCACCCCGTCCCATTCTCCCTCCTTCCATCACCCCGCCCCATTCTCCCGCTTTCCATCACCCCGCCCCATTCTCCCTCCTTCCATCACCCCGCCCCATTCTCCCTCCTTCCATCACCCCGGCCCATTCTCCCGCTTTCCATCACCTCGCCCCATTCTCCCGCTTTCCATCACCCCGCCACATTCTCCCGTTTTCTATCACCCCGCCCCATTCTCCCTCCTTCCATCACCCCGCCCCATTCTCCCGCTTTCCATCACCCTGCCCCATTCTCCCGATTTCCATCACCCCGCCCCATTCTCCCGCTTTCCATCACCCCGCCCCATTCTCCCGCTTTCCATCATCCCGCCCCATTCTCCCTCCTTCCATCACCCCGCCCCATTCTTCCGCTTCCCATCATCCCGCCCTATTCCCCCGCTTTCCATCACCCCTCCCCATTCTCCCTCCTTCCATCACCCCGCCCCATTCTCTCGCTTTCCATTACCCTGCCCCATTCTCCCGCTTTCCATCACCCCGTCCCATTCTCCCGCTTTCCATCACTCCGCCCCATTATCCCTCCTTCCATCACCCCGCCCCATTCTCCCTCCTTCCATCACCCCGCCCCATTCTCCCGCTTTACATCACCCCGCCCCATTCTCCCTCTTTCCATCACCCCGCCCCATTCTCCCGCCTTCCATCACCCCGCCCCATTCTCCCTCCTTCCATCACCTCGCCTCATTCTCCCTCCTTCCATCACCCCGCCCCATTCTCCCGCTTTCCATCACCCCGCCACATTCTCCCACTTTCCATCACCCCGCCCCATTCTCCCGCTTTCCATCACCCCGCCCCATTCTCCCTCTTTCCATCACCCCGCCCCATTCTCCCTCTTTCCATCACCCCGCCCCATTTTCCCGCTTTCCATCACCCCGCCCCATTCTCCCTCTTTCTATCACCCCGCCCCATTCTCCCACTTTCCATCACCCCGCCCCATTCTCCCGCTTTCCATCACCCCGCTCCATTCTCCCGCTTTCCATCACCCCGCCCAATTCTCCCTCTTTCCATCACCCCTCCCCATTCTCCCTCTATCCATCAACCCGCCCCATTCTCCCGCTTTCCATCAACCCGCCCCATTCTCCCTCTTTCCATCACCCCGCCCCATTCTCTCGCTTTCCATCACCCCGCCCCATTCTCCCTCTTTCCATCACCCCGCCCCATTCTCCCGCTTTCCATCACCCGCCCCATTCTCCCGCTTTCCATCATCCCGCCCCATTCTCCCTCTATCCATCACCCCACCCCATTCTCTCGCCTTCCATCACCCCGCCCCATTCTCCCGCTTTCCATCACCCCGCCCCATTCTCCCACTTTCCATCACCCCACCCCATTCTCTCGATTTGCATCACCCCGCCCCATTCTCCCGCCTTCCATCACCCCGCCCCATTCTCCCTCTTTTCATCACCCCGCCTCATTCTCCCGCTTTCCATCACCCCGCCCCATTCTCCCTCTTTCTATCACCCCGCCCCATTCTCACGCTTTCCATCACCCCACCCCATTCTCCCTCTTTCCATCACCCCGCCCCATTCTCCCGCTTTCCATCACCCGGCCCCATTCTCCCTCTATCCATCACCCCGCCCAATTCTCCCACTTTCCATCACCTCATCCCATTCTCCCGTTTTCCATCACCCCGCCCCATTCTCTCGCTTTCCATCACCCCGCCTTATTCTCCCGCTTTCCATCACCCCGCCCCATTCTCCCGATTTCCATCACCCCGCCCCATTCTCCTGCTTTCCAACACCCTGCCCCATTCTCCCGCTTTCCATCACCCCGCCCCATTCTCCCGCTTTCCATCACCCCGCCCCATTCTCCCTCTTTCCATCACCCCGCCCCATTCTCCCGATTTCCATCACCCCGCCCGCTTTCCATCACCCCGCCCGCTTTCCATCACCCCGCTCCATTCTCCCGCTTTCCATCACCCCGCCCAATTCTCCCTCTTTCCATCACCCCTCCCCATTCTCCCTCTTTCCATCAAACCGCCCCATTCTCCCGCTTTCCATCACCCCGCCCCATTCTCCCTCTTTCCATCACCCCGCCCCATTCTCTCGCTTTCCATCACCCCGCCCCATTCTCCCTCTTTCCATCACCCCGCCCCATTCTCCCGCTTTCCATCACCCGCCCCATTCTCCCGCTTTCCATCATCCCGCCCCATTCTCCCTCTATCCATCACCCCGCCCCATTCTCCCGCCTTCCATCACCCCGCCCCATTCTCCCGCTTTCCATCGCCCCGCCCCGTTCTCCCGCTTTCCATCACCCCACCCCATTCTCTCGATTTGCATCACCCCGCCCCATTCTCCCGCCTTCCATCACCCCGCCCCATTCTCCCTCTTTCCATCACCCCGCCTCATTCTCCCGCTTTCCATCACCCCGCCCCATTCTCCCGCTTTCCATCACCCCGCCCGCTTTCCATCACCCCGCTCCATTCTCCCGCTTTCCATCAGCCTGCCCAATTCTCCCTCTTTCCATCACCCCTCCCCATTCTCCCTCTTTCCATCAAACCGCCCCATTCTCCCGCTTTCCATCACCCCGGCCCATTCTCCCTCTTTCCATCACCCCACCCCATTCTCTCGCTTTCCATCACCCCGCACCATTCTCCCTCTTTCCATCACCCCGCCCCATTCTCCCGCTTTCCATCACCCGCCCCATTCTCCCGCTTTCCATCACCCCGCCCCATACTCCCTCTTTCCATCACCCCGCCCCATTCTCCCGCCTTCCATCACCCCGCCCCATTCTCCCGCTTTCCATCACCCCGCCCCATTCTCCCACTTTCCATCACCCCACCCCATTCTCCCGATTTGCATCACCCCGCCCCATTCTCCCGCCTTCCATCACCCCGCCCCATTCTCCCTCTTTCCATCACCCCGCCCCATTCTCCCGCTTTCCACCACCCCGCCCCATTCTCCCTCTTTCCATCACCCCGCCCCATTCTCCCGCTTTCCATCACACCACCTCATTCTCCCGCTTTCCATCACCTCGCCCTATTTTCTCTCTTTCCATCACCTCGCCCTATTTTCTCCCGCTTCCCTAAACCCTAAACCTCATTCTCCCTCTTTCCATCACCCCTCCCCATTCTCCCTCTTTCCATCAAACCGCCCCATTCTCCCGCTTTCCATCACCCGGCCCATTCTCCCTCTTTCCATCACTCCGCACCATTCTCTCCCTTTCCATCACCCCTCCCCATTCTCCCTCTTTCCATCACCCCGCCCCATTCTCCCGCTTTCCATCACCCGCCCCATTCTCCCGCTTTCCATCACCCCGCCCCATTCTCCCTCTTTCCATCACCCCGCCCCATTCTCCCGCCTTCCATCACCCCGCCCCATTCTCCCTCCTTCCATCACCTCGCCTCATTATCCCTCCTTCCATCACCCCGCCCCATTCTCCCGCTTTCCATCACCCCGCCCCATTCTCCCGCTTTCCATCACCCAGCCCCATTCTCCCGCTTTCCATCACCCTGCCCCATTCTCCCGCTTTCCATCACCCTGCCCCAATCTCCCGCTTTCCATCACCCCGCCCCATTCTCCCGCTTTCCATCACCCTGCCCCATTCTCCCGCTTTCCATCACCCCACTCCTTTCTCCCGCTTTCCATCACCCAGCCCCATTCTCCCGCTTTCCATCACCCCGCCCCATTCTCCCGCTTTCCATCACCCCACCCCATTCTCCCTCCTTCCATCACCCCGTCCCATTCTCCCTCCTTCCATCACCCCGCCCCACTCTCCCGCTTTCCATCACCCCGCCCCACTCTCCCGCTTTCCATCACCCTGCCCCATTCTCCCTCCATCCATCACCCCGCCCCATTCTCCCTCCTTCCATCACCCCGCCCCATTCTCCCGCTTTCCATCACCTCGCCCCATTCTCCCGCTTTCCATCACCCCGCCACATTCTCCCGTTTTCTATCACCCCGCCCCATTCTCCCTCCTTCCATCACCCCGCCCCATTCTCCCGCTTTCCATCACCCCGCCCCATTCTCCCGATTTCCATCACCCCGCCCCATTCTCCCGCTTTCCATCACCCCGCCACATTCTCCCGCTTTCCATCATCCCGCCCCATTCTCCCTCCTTCCATCACCCCGCCCCATTCTTCCGCTTCCCATCATCCCGCCCCATTCCCCCGCTTTCCATCACCCCTCCCCATTCTCCCTCCTTCCATCACCCCGCCCCATTCTCTCGCTTTCCATCACCCCGCCCCATTCTCCCGCTTTCCATCAAACCGTCCCATTCTCCCGCTTTCCATCACTCCGCCCCATTATCCCTCCTTCCATCACCCCGCCCCATTCTCCCTCCTTCCATCACCCCGCCCCATTCTCCCGCTTTCCATCACCCCGCCTCATTCTCCCGCTTCCCATAACCCCACCCCATTCTCCCGCTTTCCATCACCCCGCCACATTCTCCCACTTTCCATCACCCCGCCCCCTTCTCTCTCCTTCCATCACCCCGCCCCATTCTCCCTCCTTCCATCACCCTGCCCCATTCTCCCGCTTTCCATCAGCCCGCCCCATTCTCCCGCTTTCCATCACCCCTCCCCTTTCTCCCGCTTTCCATCACCCCTCCCCATTCTCCCTCCTTCCATCACCCCGCCCCATTCTCTCGCTTTCCATCACCCCGCCCCGTTCTCCCGCTTTCCATCACCCCGCCCCATTCTTCCTCCTTCCATCACCCTGCCCCATTCTCCCGCTTTCCATCACCCCGCCCCGTTCTCCCTCCTTCCATCACCCCGCCCCATTCTCCCTCATTCCATCACCCCGCCCCATTCTCCCGCTTTCCATCACCCCGCCCCATTCTCCCGCTTCCCATAACCCCACCCCATTCTCCCGCTTTCCATCACCCCGCCACATTTTCCCACTTTCCATCACCCCGCCCCCTTCTCTCTCCTTCCATCACCCCGCCCCATTCTCCCTCCTTCCATCACCCCGCCCCATTCTCCCTCCTTCCATCACCCCTCCCCATTCTCCCGCTTTCCATCACCCCACCCCATTCTCCCGCTTTCCATCACTCCGCCCCATTCTCCCGCTTTCCATCACCCCGACCCATTCTCCCACTTTCCATCACCCCGCCCCATTCTCCCTCCTTCCATCACCCCGCCTCATTCTCCCTCCTTCAATCACCCCGCCCCATTCTCCCGCTTTCCATCACCCCGCCCCATTCTCCCGCTTTCCATCACTTAGCCCCATTCTCCCGCTTTCCATCATCCCGCCCCATTTTTCCGCTTTCCATCACCCCGCCCCATTCTCCCGCTTTCCATCACCGTGCCCCAATCTCCCGCTTTCCATCACCCCGCCCCCTTCTCCCTCCTTCCATCACCCCGCCCCATTCTCCCTCCTTCCATCACCCCGCCCCATTCTCCCGCTTTCCATCAGCCCCCCCCATTCTCCCGCTTTCCATCACCCCGCCCCTTTCTCCCGCTTTCCATGACCCCACCCCATTCTCCCGCTTTCCATCACTCCGCCCCATTCTCCCGCTTTCCATCACCCCGACCCATTCTCCCACTTTCCATCACCCCGCCCCATTCTCCCTCCTTCCATCACCCCACCTCATTCTCCCTCCTTCAATCACCTCGCCCCATTCTCCCTCCTTCCATCACCCCGCCCCATTCTCCCTCTTTCCATCACCCCGCCCCATTCTCACGCTTTCCATCACCCCACCCCATTCTCCCTCTTTCCATCACCCCGCCCCATTCTCCCGCTTTCCATCACCCCTGCCCCATTCTCCCTCTATCCATCACCCCGCCCAATTCTCCCACTTTCCATCACCTCATCCCATTCTCCCGTTTTCCATCACCCCGCCCCATTCTCTCGCTTTCCATCACCCCGCCTTATTCTCCCGCTTTCCATCACCCCGCCCTATTCTCCCGATTTCCATCACCCCGCCCCATTCTCCTGCTTTCCAACACCCTGCCCCATTCTCCCGCTTTCCATCACCCCGCCCCATTCTCCCGCTTTCCATCACCCCGCCCCATTCTCCCTCTTTCCATCACCCCGCCCCATTCTCCCACTTTCCATCACCTCGCCCCATTCTCCCTCTTTCCATCACCCCGCCCCATTCTCCCGCTTTCCACCACCCCGCCCCAATCTCCCGCTTTCCACCACCCCGCCCCATTCTCCCGCTTTCCACCACCCCGCCCCATTCTCCCGCTTTCCATCACCCCGCCCCATTCTCCCGCTTTCCATCACTTCGCCCAATCCTCTCGATTTCCATCACCCCGCCCTATTCTCCCGCTTTCTATCACCGGGCCCCATTCTCCCGCTTTCCATCACCCTGCCCCATTCTCCCGCTTTCCATCACCCCGCCCCATTCTCCCTCTTCCCATTACCCGCCCCATTCTCCCGCTTTCCATCATCCCGCCCCATTCTCCCGCTTTCCACCACCCCGCCCCATTCTCCTGATTTCCATCACCCCGCCCCTCTCCCGCTTTCCATCACTCCGCCCCATTCTCCCGGTTTCCATCACCCAGCTCCATTCTCCCGCTTTCCATCACCCCGCCCAATTATCCCTCTTTCCATCACCCCGCCCCATTCTCCCTGTTTCCATCACCCCGCCCCATTCTCCCGCTTTCCATCACCCGCCCCATTCTCCTTCCTTCAATCACCTGTCAGATTATTATAGCTGATGCATGTTTGTAGGCTATAGTGGGGTAGCTCATATGGGGTACAGTTTGCTAGGGTTGTATTTGTACCCAACTCTGACTTAGTCAATTCATTCCTGTTCATTCCTTTCACATGGTATAGAGCGGGTTCCCTGTGGGAACTTCGCCTAGGGCCCACCGAAGCGCGCCCCGAAGCGCGCGATCCTTTTTTTTTTTTAGCGACCCCCCCGAGTCGCCCTTCCCCTGCGGCCCCGCCGCCCTTCGTTCGCGGCCCCGCCGTCCAGTCGCGGCCCCGCCCTTACGTCGCGGCCCCGCCCTTACGTCGCGGCCCCGCCACTAAGTCGCGGCCCCGCCACTAAGACGCGGCCCCGCCACCCAGTCGCGGCCCCGCCGCCTACTCGGACGCGGCCCCGCCGCCTGCTAAGACGCGGCCCCGCCGCCTGCTAAGACGCGGCCCCGCCGCCTGCTAAGACGCGGCCCCGCCGCCTGCTCAGCCGCGGCCCCGCCGCCCTCTACGACGCGGCCTCCGCCGCCTGCAGACGCCGCGGCCTCCGCCGCCTTCTCAGCCGCGACCCCGCCGCCCGCTACGACGCGGCCTCCGCCGCCTGCTCAGCCGCGGCCCCACCGCCCTCTACGACGCGGCCTCTGCCGCCTGCTCAGCCGCGGCCCTGCCGCCTCCTACGACGCGGCCCCGCAGCCTGCTCAGCCGCGGGTGCTTCCAGCGGCCCTCCGCTGCATCCTGACAGCCCGCCGCTGCACCCGTGCGGCCCCGCCACTGCGCCTGTCCCGGCTCCGCCACTGCACCCTGACGGCCCCGCCGTCCCCTGTCTCGGCCCCACCGCTGCACCCTGACGGCCCCGCCGTCCCTTGTCCCGGCCCCGCCACTACACTGCAGCCGAGCCGCCCAGCAGCAGCCTCTGCCGCCCAACAGCAGCCGAGCCGCCCAGCAGCAGCCGAGCCGCCCAGCAGCAGCCGAGCCGCCCAGCAGCAGCCGAACCGCCCAGCAGCAGCCGAGCCGCCCAGCAGCAGCCGAGCCGCCCGGTACCTGAGCCGCCCGAGCCGCCCGAGCCGCCCGAGCCGCCCGAGTCCGCCCGAGCCGCCCGAGCCGCCCGAGCAGCCCGAGCCGCCTGCTGCTGACCTACCCGACTCTCCCATCCCGGTGAGACTTTCAGCTGCTGCCATGGCCACCCCCAATGTTCTCACTTTTGACGCTGAGGGGAGGGCCATTGACTTTGCCGTCTGGATCGAGGACCTGCAGCTGTACTTACTGTGTGATGCGGTAGATGAGGTCTCTCTCTTTGACTTTGTCTCTGGCGCTGTCCCTGCCCCGCCTGCTGATGCTGACTCTGCCGTTCGCTCCAAGTGGGCGACCCGCGATGCTGCTGCACGTCTTGCTGTGCGTCGCCACCTCCCTTCCTCTGAGCGTGCCCACTTTAGTCAGTGCAAGACCGCTCAGGCCTTGTACGACGCTGTAGTTGCGCGCTACTCCTCCCCTTCCTCCGCTACCCTTAGCCGCCTCATGCTACCGTTTCTCTTCCCTGACCTCGCTTCCTTTCCCACTGTCGCTGACCTCGTTACCCACCTCCGCGCTAGTGACACCCGCTACCGCGCTGCCCTTCCTGCTGAGTTCCGCGCTGCGAACCCTCCTCCCATGTACATCACTCTCTACTTTCTCGTCACCCGTCTCCCTGAGTCCCTTCGTGTCGTTAGGGACCAGTTTCTCTCTGTCTGTCCCACCACTCTCACTGTCGACCTCCTTGAGGAGTCCCTGCTAGCAGGCTGAGAAGAGTATTGTCGCTGTAGGGGCCTCTCGGGGTGACCCTCGCACCCCCATCTTTGAGGGGTGTGGTCCCTCCCCCCTGCTGCCCTCTGTCGCCTCTGCCGCTGCGGCCGACCTCGTTGGTTTTGAGTCGGTCGGCGCGGCGTCTGCCCCCAGTGGCAGACGCCGCACTGGCAAGGGCAAGGGGGGCAAGGGAGCGGGTGGAGCCAGAGGGGGCGGTGGAGGAGGCGGTGGGGGTGGAGGGGGGAGTGGGGGTGGCGGGGGGGGTGGTGGCGGGAGTGGAGGTAGTAGTGGCGGCGGTGGAGGCGGAGGTGGCGGCGGAGGTGGTAGCGGAGGAGGCGGTGGGAGCGGTGGGAGCGACGGTCCTGGTGGGGGTGGTGGCGGTGGCGACGGGGGTGGCGGTGGAGGCGGGGGTGGCGGTGGAGGAGGGGGTCGGAGTGGCTCGTCCCAGCGGAGCAGCTCTGGGGGTGGTCAGCGCCAGCAGCAGCAGCAGCAGCAGCCGCAGCAGCAGCCGCAGCAGCAGCAGCGCTCTCGCACCGTCCCCGGCCCTCAGCAGCTCCGTGAGTGGTACTTGCAGCGTCAGCGCGGTGGTGCGCTTGGTCCCTGCCCCTACGTTCTTCGCACTGGTGACCGTGCAGGGGAGAGGTGTGGAGGCGCCCACACAGCCCGTCGCTGCTTTGGCCGCCTGACCGACGCCTGGCGTCAGCAGTTTCCGGAGGCCGCTGAGATCCCCCGCTGGGGAGAGCTGTCTAGGGCTGGTGTAGCTATTTATGATCTTGATTTTGATGCTATTCTCTCTGCTATGTATGCGGTGACTGGTAGTAATGAGGATGACTGTTACCGGTGTTTCCCGCCCGACCCGGGCATTGGTACTGCCGCGTCAGGTACTAGTGAGGCTGCTGCTCTAGGTGCCAGTGCGTCTGTGCGTTCAGGTACTGGTGAGTCCGCCCTCTCAGGTACTGTGTCGGCTTCGGCCTCTCACACCTTCACCCTTGACTCTGGAGCGTCTCGCTCCTTCTTTAGGGACCGCACCACTCTCACGCCGCTGAGTCGGCCTGTTGCGGTGTCCCTGGCGGACCCCTCTGGGGGGCCTGTCCTGTCTCGCTTCTCCACTGTCCTCCCGTGTCCGGCGGCCCCCTCTGGCACCCTGACTGGTCTCTACCTCCCCTCGTTCTCGACGAACTTGGTGAGTGGTGCTGACCTCCAGGATGCAGGTGTCCACCAGTTCACCCCTGCTCGTCAGCGGGTGACCCACTGTACGGAGGCGGATACAGGTCGCCACCTGGCTACGTTTACACGTCGGCCGGGGTCGAGCCTGTACACACTGACCACTGCTTCTCCTCCAGGTACTGCGTCTGGTAGGGCCCCTTCGTCTGGTCAGGTGTTTGCTGCAGCGTCCAGGTCTGGTCCTGAGTCTGCCCCTTGTTCGTGTCGTCGTCTGTCTCACGAGACCCTCCTCTGGCACCACCGCCTTGGCCACCCCTCTCTGCTTCGGCTCAGAGGCATGGCCTCGCGGGTCCTTGTGTCTGGTCTTCCCCGGTCCCTCCCTCCCCTTCCTCCGGGCCCTGGCCCTGCCTGTGTCCCCTGTGTCGAGGGGCGCCAGCGTGCTGCCCCTCACTCCTCCCAGTTTCCTCCGACAGAGGCCCCGTTGCAGACGCTTCACATGGACGTGTGGGGCCCAGCGCGCGTCCGTGGACAGGGTCAGGAGCGCTACTTCCTGCTGGTGGTTGACGACTACTCGCGTTACACCACAGTCTTCCCCTTGCGCAGCAAGGGTGAGGTCACTCAGGTGTTGATCGACTGGATCCGCGCAGCTCGTCTTCAGCTTCGGAGAAGCTTTGGCTCTGACTTCCCTGTCTTGCGTCTGCACTCGGACAGAGGCGGAGAGTTCTCCTCTGCCCTCCTGAGTGCCTACTGTCGTGTGCGAGGCATCCGTCAGACCTTCACGCTTCCGGACTCACCACAGCAGAATGGGATCGCTGAGCGCCGCATTGGCATGGTCATGGACGTCGCTCGTACGTCCATGATGCATGCGGCTGCTCCCCATTTTCTGTGGCCGTTTGCGGTCAGGTACGCTGCGCACCAGCTCAACCTCCACCCCAGGGTCTCTCGACCGGAGACCTCCCCAGCTCTGTTGTGGACGGGGAAGGTTGGCGATGCGTCGGCGTTCCGGGTCTGGGGATCTCGGGCGTTTGTTCGCGACCTGTCTGCGGACAAGTTGTCCCCTCGTGCTTCTCCCTGCGTCTTCCTCGGGTTCCCCCCCGACGCCCCTGGGTGGCAGTTTTACCACCCCACCTCTCGACGTGTTCTGTCCTCCCAGGACGTCACGTTCGACGAGTCGGTACCCTACTACCGCCTCTTCCCCTACCGCACTCCGTCCCTCCCCCCACCCCCGCTCTTCTTGGTACCAGGTCCCCCCCCAGTAGTCCCCCTCCCCCCTCAGGGTCCTGCCCCTTCAGGTGTGTCTCAGGTAGACGCGGTCGAGCCTGTCGAGGTCACTGGTGACTCCGGTGCTGCTGCGGGAGCTGAGCCTGGGGGTGCGGAGTCTAGGGGTGCTGAGCCTGGGGGTGCTGAGCCTGGGGGTGCAGAGTCTGGGGGTGCTGGGCCTGGGGGTGCTGAGCCTGGGGGTGCTGAGCCTGGGGGTGCTGTGCCTGGGGGTGCTGTGTCTGGGGGTACTGAGCCTGGGGGTGCTGAGCCTGGGGGTGCTGAGCCTGGAGGTGCCGAGCCTGGAGGTGCTGTGCCTGGGGGTGCTTCGTCTCGCCGGGAGCCGCTCTCTCCACAGGAGCTGCGTGAGTGGTTTGCCCGGCGCTGGAGGCGTGCCGCTGGTGCTGGTGGTTCTTCGGCTGCGGAGGGCGCAGCTGCCACGCGACCTGGCGGTGCTCGTCCTGTGGGTGCTGGAGCTGCTGGGTCTGAGGGTTCTCCTGGAGCTGGTCCTGCTGAGGACGTTGGCGCTGAGCCTGCGGTTGGTGGTCCGACTGACGGTGCTCCTGGTGCTGCTGCTGGAGGTTCTGGAGCTTCTGGTGGTTCTGCTGGAGGTGCTGCTGGAGTGGGTGCTCCGGCCGGAGCTGCTGGTTCTGTTCCTGCTGTTTCTGGCGTCGCCGCGCGGTCTCGACCGTACTTCGCTCCGCTCCTGGAGCAGGTTCTTGGTCTTGCTCCTCCTCCTCCTCCCTTAGAGGGTCCGCAGCCTGTCCGGTCACAGCCACAGCTAGAGCCTGCCTCCCCTTTGCCTGCTCCTTCTCCCTACACTGGTCCGACTGGAGGCCTTACTGAGCGTCGTGAGCCTGCGTCTCGTCCTGCGTCGCCTGTTCGTACTGAGCGCGCTAGTGGTCGCGGGTCGCGTCAGCGTCCTCCTCCTGTCCCTGGCACGCACCGGATGTCACTGCGTCCGTCCACTGCTCCTCTGCGTGCCCCTTTGCCTTCTCCTCCTGCTTCCTCTCTTCCTGCTCTTGCCGACCCGGAGTCGGACTCTCTTCGTGCTGCCAGTCCTACTGTCACGCGTCTCCTTGCTACTGCTGTCACTGACCCTTCCTTCGAGTCGTCTGCTGCGTCTGCCCTTGTCACTGAGCTTGTCGACTTTGCTGCGCGCTGTCGTCTAGACTACGCTGCTCGTCTTGTCGCTGAGTCTGAGTCCGCCTGTCCTCCGTCCGTCGGGGGTGAGTGTGCCCTTGGCACGGACGTCCTAGAGGACAGGCAGGAGGAGTTCCAGTGTCTAGCCGCTGCTTCACCTCGTCTCGCGTCTGTACTGCTAGCCCCTGAGGGAGACCCGGATGCACTAGACATCCCGACTCCGCGTTCTTACGCGGAGGCCGTAGAGGGTCCCTACTCCTCTCAGTGGCAGGCAGCTATGGATGCAGAGATGGCTTCCTGGAAGTCCACAGGCACCTACGTTGACGCGGTTCCCCCTCCTGGGGCGAACATCGTCAGTGGCATGTGGATCTTCAGGGTGAAGCGGCCGCCGGGCTCGCCGCCTGTCTTCAAGGCGCGTTACGTGGCTCGTGGCTTCAGTCAGCGGCAGGGAGTTGACTACTTTCAGACCTTCTCTCCCACCCCGAAGATGACCACTCTTCGGGTGCTGCTGCACATTGCCGCTCAGCGCGACTACGAGCTTCACTCTCTCGACTTCAGCACTGCGTTCCTGCAGGGTAGCCTGCACGAGGAGATCTGGCTGCGCCGTCCGCCTGGCTTCACTGGGACTTTCCCTCCTGGCACCCAGTGGAGCCTCCGACGGCCAGTCTACGGTCTCCGCCAGGCACCGCGTGAGTGGCACGACACACTGAGGACTACGCTTGCGGCTCTTGGGTTTGCTCCTTCTACTGCTGACCCGTCGCTGTTTCTTCGCACCGACACTTCCCTGCCGCCGTTCTACATCCTCGTGTACGTCGACGACTTGGTCTTTGCCACAGCGGACACTGCTGGACTCGCCTACGTGAAGTCCGAGCTGCTGAAGAGACACACGTGCACAGACCTGGGTGAACTGCGCAGCTACCTTGGCTTGCAGATCACTCGGGACAGAGCACGCCGCACCATTACCCTGACTCAGTCACACATGGTGCAGCAGGTCCTTCAGCGCTTCGGCTTCACGTACTCCTCGCCTCAGGCCACTCCTCTGCCTACTCGCCACTCACTCTCAGCTCTGCCTTCGGATGAGTCCGTAGAGTCGAGTGGTCCGTATGCAGAGCTTGTTGGCTGCCTCATGTACCTGATGACCTGCACACGACCTGACCTTGCATACCCTCTGAGCATCCTTGCACGCTATGTTGCTCCTGGGAGACACCGACCAGAGCACATGGCTGCAGCGAAGAGGGTATTGCGCTACCTGTGCAGTACGTCGGGCATGGGGCTAGTGCTTGGAGGGCGGAGTCCAGTGGTCCTTACTGGGCACGCAGACGCTTCTTGGGCTGACGACCAGGCTACGCAGCGGTCGTCACAGGGTTACACCTTCAGCCTTGGTTCCGGCTCTGTCTCGTGGCGGTCTACTCGCTCGTCTTCGGTTCTCGGCTCCAGTTGTGAGGCTGAGATCTACGCCGGGGCCATGGCTGCACAGGAGCTTCGCTGGCTCACCTACCTGCTGACTGACCTTGGAGAGCTGCCTCGTTCTCCTCCAGTGCTGTACGTAGACAACAAGGCCATGTTGGCCTTGTGTCGAGAGCAGCGCTTGGAGCACAGAACGAAGCACATTGCTCTCCGCTACTTCCTTGCTCGTGAGCTGCAGCAGCGTGGTCAGTTGCGACTTGCTTACGTGGCCTCTGAGGCCAACACTGCTGATGTGTTCACCAAGGCACTTGCGCCTTGCGACCATCAGCGCTTTTGTACCCAGCTGGGTCTTGTACCTGTCTTACCTCACTTGCTCTCTTCTTGACTTTACTTGTACTTTGACATATATATACCTGCTCTTGCTTGTCTAGTTTTATATATATGTCTGTACTCCTGCATGTGAACTGGCCTCTGGCCTTGCTCTTGTGCTCGGACTGTGTGGTGACTTTGTGATCCACCCTGAGCTTGCTTTGCTTTGCTTGACTGGTCTTGTGACCCCTTGTTCTCCCCCACTTTGCCTATGGGGGTGTGTCAGATTATTATAGCTGATGCATGTTTGTAGGCTATAGTGGGGTAGCTCATATGGGGTACAGTTTGCTAGGGTTGTATTTGTACCCAACTCTGACTTAGTCAATTCATTCCTGTTCATTCCTTTCACATCACCCCGCCCAATTCTCTCGCTTTCCATCACCCCGCCCCATTTTCCCGTTTTCCATCACCCCGCCCCATTCTCCCGCTTTCCATCACCTCGCCCTATTCTCCCTGCTTCCATCACCCCAACCCAATCTCCCTCCTTCCATCAACCCGCCCCATTCTCCCGCTTTCCATCACCCCGCCCAATTCTCCCGCTTTCCATCACCCCGCCCCATTCTCCCTCCTTCCATCACCCCGCCCAGTTCTCCCGCTTTCCAACACCCCGCCCCATTCTCCCGCTTTCCATATCCCCGACCCATTCTCCCGCTTTCCATCTCCCCGCCCCATTCTCCCACTTTCCATCACCCCGCCCCGTTCTCCCGCTTTCCATCACCCAGCCCCATTCTCCCTCCTTCCATCACCCCGCCCCATTCTCCCGCTTTCCATCACCCCTTCCCATTTTCCCGCTTTCCATAACCTCGCCCCATTCTCCCGCTTTCCATCACCCCGCCACATTTTCCCGCTTTCAATCACCCCGCCCCATTCTCCCTCCTTCCATCGCCCCACCCCATTCTCCCTCTTTCCATCACCCCGCCCCATTCTCCCTCCTTCCATCACCCCGCCCCATTTTCCCGCTTTCCATCACCCCGCCCCATTCTCCCGCTTTCCATCACCCCGCCCCATTCTCCTGCTTTCCATCACCCCGCCCCATTCTCCCTCCCATCACCCCGCCCCATTCTCCTGCCTACCATCACCCCGCCCCATTCTCCCGCTTTCCATCACCCCGCCCCATTTTCCTGTTTTCCATCAACCCGCCCCATTCTCCTACTTTCCATCACCCTGCCCCATTCTCCCGCTTTCCATCACCCCGCCCCATTCTCCCGCTTTCCATCACCCCGCCCCATTCTCCCTCCTTCCATCACCCCGCCCGATTCTCCCGCTTTCCATCACCCCGCCCCATTCTCCCGCTTTCCATCACCCCGCCACATTCTCCCACTTTCCATCAACCCGCCCCATTCTCCCTCCTTTCATACCCCGCCCCATTCTCCCGCTTTCCATCACCCCACCACATTCTCTCGATTTGCATCACCCCGCCCCATTCTCCCGCCTTCCATCACCCCGCCCCATTCTCCCTCTTTCCATCACCCCGCCCCATTCTCCCGCTTTCCATCACCCCGCCCCATTCTCCCTCTTTCTATCACCCCGCCCCATTCTCCCGCTTTCCATCACCCCGCCCGCTTTCCATCACCCTGCTCCATTCTCCCGATTTCCATCACCCCGCCCAATTCTCCCTCTTTCCATCACCCCTTCCCATTCTCCCTCTTTCCATCAAACCGCCCCATTCTCCCGCTTTCCATCACCCCGGCCCATTCTCCCTCTTTCCATCACCCCGCCCCATTCTCTCGCTTTCCATCACCCCGCCCCATTCTCCCTCTTTCCATCACCCCGCCCCATTCTCCCGCTTTCCATCACCCGCCCCATTCTCCCGCTTTCCATCACCCCGCCCCATTCTCCCTCTTTCCATCACCCCGCCCCATTCTCCCGCTTTCCATCACCCCACCCCATTCTCCCGATTTGCATCACCCCGCCCCATTCTCCCGCCTTCCATCACCCCGCCCCATTCTCCCTCTTTCCATCACCCCGCCCCATTCTCCCGCTTTCCATCACCCCGCCCCATTCTCCCTCTTTCCATCACCCCGCCCCATTCTCCCGCTATCCATCACACCACCCCATTCTCCCGCTTTCCATCACCTCGCCCTATTTTCTCTCTTTTCATCACCCCGCCCTATTCTCCCGCTTTCCATCACCCCGCCTCATTCTCCCGCTTTCCATCACCCCGCTCCATTCTCCCGCTTTCCATCAACCCGCCAAATTCTCCCTCTTTCCATCACCCCTCCCCATTCTCCCTCTTTCCATCACCCCGCCCCATTCTCCCGCTTTCCATCACCCCGCGCCATTCTCCCGCTTTCCATCACCCCGCCCCATTCTCCCGCTTTCCATCACCCCGCCCCATTCTCCCTCTTTCCATCACCTCGCCCCATTCTCCTGCTTTCCATCACCCCTCCCCATTCTCCCGCTCTCCATCACCCCGCCCCATTCTCCCGCTTTCCATCACCCCACCCCATTCTCCCGCTTTCCATCACCCTGCCTATTCTCCCTCTTTCCATCACCCCGCCCCATTCTCCCTCTTTCCATCACTCCGCCCCATTCTCCCTCTATCCATCACCCCGCCCAATTCTCCCGCTTTCCATCACCTCGTCCCATTCTCCCGCTTTCCATCACCCGCCCCATTCTCCCGCTTTCCATCACCCCGCCCCATTCTCCCGCTTTCCACCACCCCGCGCCATGCTCCCACTTTCCATCACCCCGCCCCGTTCTCCCTCTTTCCATCACCCCGCCCCATTCTCCCGCTTTCCATCACCCCGCCCCATTCTCCCTCTTTCCATCACCCCGCCCCATTCTCCCGCTTTCCATCACTCCGCCCCATTCTCCCGCTTTCCACCACCCCGCCCCATTCTCCCGCTTTCCACCAGCCTGCCCCATTCTCCCGCTTTCCATCACCCCGCCCCATTCTCCCGCTTTCCATCACTTTGCCCAATTCTCTCGATTTCCATCACCCAGCCCCATTCTCCCGCTTTCTATCACCCGGCCCCATTCTCCCGCTTTCCATCACCCCGCCCCATTCTCCCTCTTTCCATCACCACGCCCCATTCTCCCGCTTTCCATCACTCCGCCCCATTCTCCCGCTTTCCACCAGCCTGCCCCATTCTCCCGCTTTCCATCACCCCGCCCCATTCTCCCGCTTTCCATCACTTTGCCCAATTCTCTCGATTTCCATCACCCAGCCCCATTCTCCCGCTTTCTATCACCCGGCCCCATTCTCCCGCTTTCCATCACCCCGCCCCATTCTCCCGCTTTCCATCACCCCACCCCATTCTCTCGATTTGCATCACCCCGCCCCATTCTCCCGCCTTCCATCACCCCGCCCCATTCTCCCTCTTTCCATCACCCCGCCCCATTCTCCCGCTTTCCATCACCCCGCCCCATTCTCCCTCTTTCTATTACCCCGCCCCATTCTCCCGCTTTCCATCACCCCGCCCGCTTTCCATCACCCCGCTCCATTCTCCCGATTTCCATCACCCCGCCCAATTCTCCCTCTTTCCATCACCCCTCCCCTTTCTCCCTCTTTCCATCAAACCGCCCCATTCTCCCGCTTTCCATCACCCCGGCCCATTCTCCCTCTTTCCATCACCCCGCCCCCTTCTCTCGCTTTCCATCACCCCGCCCCATTCTCCCTCTTTCCATCACCCCGCCCCATTCTCCCGCTTTCCATCACCCGCCCCATTCTCCCGCTTTCCATCACCCCGCCCCATTCTTCCTCTTTCCATCACCCCGCCCCATTCTCCCGCTTTCCATCACCCCACCCCATTCTCCCGATTTGCATCACCCCGCCCCATTCTCCCGCTTTCCATCACCCCGCCCCATTCTCCCTCTTTCCATCACCCCGCCCCATTCTCCCGCTTTCCATCACCCCGCCCCATTCTCCCTCTTTCCATCACCCCGCCCCATTCTCCCACTTTCCATCACACCACCCCATTCTCCCGCTTTCCATCACATCGCCCTATTTTCTCTCTTTTCATCACCCCGCCCCATTCTCCCGCTTTCCATCACCCCGCCCCATTCTCCCGCTTTCCATCACCCCGCTACATTCTCCCGCTTTCCATCAACCCGCCCAATTCTCCCTCTTTCCATCACCCCTCCCCATTCTCCCTCTTTCCATCACCCCGCCCCATTCTCCCGCTTTCCATCACCCCGCGCCATTCTCCCGCTTTCCATCACCCCGCCCCATTCTCCCGCTTTCCATCACCCCGCCCAATTCTCCCTCTTTTCATCACCCCGCCCCATTCTCCCGCTTTCCATCACCCCGCCCCATTCTCCCGCTTTCCATCACCCCGCTACATTCTCCCGCTTTCCATCAACCCGCCCAATTCTCCCTCTTTCCATCACCCCTCCCCATTCTCCCTCTTTCCATCACCCCGCCCCATTCTCCCGCTGTCCATCACCCCGCCCCATTCTCCCGCTTTCCATCACCCCGCCCCATTCTCCCGCTTTCCATCACCCTGCCCATTCTCCCTCTTTCCATCACCCCGCCCCATTCTCCCTCTTTCCATCACTCCGCCCCATTCTCCCTCTATCCATCACCCCGCCCAATTCTCCCGCTTTCCATCACCTCGTCCCATTCTCCCGCTTTCCATCACCCGCCCCATTCTCCCGCTTTCCATCACCCCGCCCCATTCTCCCGCTTTCCACCACCCCGCGCCATGCTCCCGCTTTCCATCACCCCGCCCCATTCTCCCTCTTTCCATCACCCCGCCCCATTCTGCCGCTTTCCATCACCCCGCCCCATTCTCCCTCTTTCCATCACCCCGCCCCATTCTCCCTCTTTCCATCACTCCGCCCCATTCTTCCGCTTTCCACCACCCCGCCCCATTCTCCCGCTTTCCACCAGCCCGCCCCATTCTCCCGCTTTCCATCACCCCGCCCCATTCTCCCGCTTTCCATCACTTTGCCCAATTCTCTCGATTTCCATCACCCAGCCCCATTCTCCCGCTTTCTATCACCCGGCCCCATTCTCCCGCTTTCCATCACCCCGCCCCATTCTCCCGCTTTCCATCACCCCGCCCCATTCTCCCTCTTTCCATTACCCGCCCCATTCTCCTGCTTTCCATCATCCCGCCCCATTCTCCCGCTTTCCACCACCCCGCCCCAGTCTTCCGATTTCCATCACCCCGCCCCTCTCCCGCTTTCCATCACTCCGCCCCATTCTCCCGGTTTCCATCACCCCGCTCCATTCTCCCGCTTTCCATCACCCCGCCCAATTATCCCTCTTTCCATCACCCCGCCCCATTCTCCCTCTTTCCATCACCCCGCCCCATTCTCTCGCTTTCCATCACCCCGCCCCATTCTCCCGCTTTCCATCACCCCGCCCCATTTTCCCGATTTCCATCACCCCGCCCCATTCTCCCGCTTTCCATCACCCTGCCCCATTCTCCCTCTTTCCATCACCCCGCCCCATTCTCCCGCTTTCCATCACCCCGCCCCATTCTCCCGCTTTCCATCACCCCGCCCCATTCTCCCGCTTTCCATCACCCCGCCCCATTCTCCCTCTTTCCATCACCCCGTCCCATTCTCCCGCTTTCCATCACCCCGCCCCATTCTCCCGCTTTCCATCACCCCGCCCCATTCTCCTTCTTTCCATCACCCCGCCCCATTCTCCCTCTTTCCATCACCCCGCCCCATTCTCCCGCTTTCCATCACCCCGCGCCATTTTCCCTTGTTCCATCACCCCGCTCCATTCTCCCGCTTTCCATCACCCCGCGCGATTCTCCCTCTTTCCATCACCCCTCCCCATTCTCCCTGTTTCCATCACCCCGCCCCATTCTCCCGCTTTCCATCACCCCGCCCCATTCTCCCTCTTTCCACCACCCCGCCCCATTCTCACTCTTTCCATCACCCCGCCACATTCTCCCGCTTTCCATCACCCCGCCCCATTCTCCCTCTTTCCATCACCCCGCCCCATTCTCCCGCTTTCCATCACCCCGCCCCATTCTCCCTCTTTCCATCACCCCGCTCCATTCTCCCGCTTTCCATCACCCCGCCCAATTCTCCCTCTTTCCATCACCCCTCCTCATTCTCCCTCTTTCCATCACCCCGCCCCATTCTCCCGCTTTCCACCACCCCGCTCCATTCTCCCGCTTTCCATCACCCTGCCCAATTCTCCCGCTTTCCATCACCACGCCCCATTTTCCCTCTTTCCATCACCCCGCCCCATTCTCCCGCTTTCCATCACCCCGCCCCATTCTCCCGCTTTCCATCACCCCGCTCCATTCTCCCGCTTTCCATCACCCCGCCCAATTCTCCCTCTTTCTATCACCCCTCTCCATTCTCCCTCTTTCCATCACCCCGCCCCATTCTCCCGCTTTCCATCACCCCGCCCCATTCTCCCTCTTTCCATCACCCCGCCCCATTTTCCCGCTTTCCATCACCCCGCCCCATTCTCCCTCTTTCTATCACCCCGCCCCATTCTCCCACTTTCCATCACCCCGCCCCGTTCTCCCGCTTTCCATCACCCCGCTCCATTCTCCCGCTTTCCATCACCCCGCCCAATTCTCCCTCTTTCCATCACCCCTCCCCATTCTCCCTCTTTCCATCACCCCGCCCCATTCTCCCGCTTTCCATCACCCCGCCCCATTCTCCCTCTTTCTATTACCCCGCCCCATTCTACCGCTTTCCATCACCCCGCCCGCTTTCCATCACCCCGCTCCATTCTCCCGATTTCCATCACCCCGCCCAATTCTCCCTCTTTCCATCACCCCTCCCCATTCTCCCTCTTTCGATCAAACCGCCCCATTCTCCCGCTTTCCATCACCCCGGCCCATTCTCCCTCTTTCCATCACCCCGCCCCCTTCTCTCGCTTTCCATCACCCCGCCCCATTCTCCCTCTTTCCATCACCCCGCCCCATTCTCCCGCTTTCCATCACCCGCCCCATTCTCCCGCTTTCCATCACCCCGCCCCATTCTTCCTCTTTCCATCACCCCGCCCCATTCTCCCGCTTTCCGTCACCCCACCCCATTCTCCCGATTTGCATCACCCCGCCCCATTCTCCCGCTTTCCATCACCCCGCCCCATTCTCCCTCTTTCCATCACCCCGCCCCATTCTCCCGCTTTCCATCACCCCGCCCCATTCTCCCGCTTTCCATCACCTCGCCCCATTCTCCCGCTTTCCATCACCCCGCTACATTCTCCCGCTTTCCATCAACCCGCCCAATTCTCCCTCTTTCCATCACCCCTCCACATTCTCCCTCTTTCCATCACCCCGCCCCATTCTCCCGCTTTCCATCACCCCGCGCCATTCTCCCGCTTTCCATCACCCCGCCCCATTCTCCCGCTTTCCATCACCCCGCCCCATTCTCCCTCTTTCCATCACCTCGCCCCATTCTCCTGCTATCCATCACTCCTCCCCATTCTCCCGCTGTCCATCACCCCGCCCCATTCTCCCGCTTTCCATCACCCCGCCCCATTCTCCCGCTTTCCATCACCCTGCCCATTCTCCCTCTTTCCATCACCCCGCCCCATTCTCCCTCTTTCCATCACTCCGCCCCATTCTCCCTCTATCCATCACCCCGCCCAATTCTCCCGCTTTCCATCACCTCGTCCCATTCTCCCGCTTTCCATCACCCGCTCCATTCTCCCGCTTTCCATCACCCCGCCCCATTCTCCCGCTTTCCACCACCCCGCGCCATGCTCCCGCTTTCCATCACCCCGCCCCATTCTCCCTCTTTTCATCACCCCGCCCCATTCTGCCGCTTTCCATCACCCCGCCCCATTCTCCCGCTTTCCATCACTCCGCCCCATTCTTCCGCTTTCCACCACCCCGCCCCATTCTCCCGCTTTCCACCAGCCCGCCCCATTCTCCTGCTTTCCATCACCCCGCCCCATTCTCCCGCTTTCCATCACTTTGCCCAATTCTCTCGATTTCCATCACCCAGCCCCATTCTCCCGCTTTCTATCACCCGGCCCCATTCTCCCGCTTTCCATCACCCCGCCCCATTCTCCCGCTTTCCATCACCCCGCCCCATTCTCCCTCTTTCCATTACCCGCCCCATTCTCCCGCTTTCCATCATCCCGCCCCATTCTCCCGCTTTCCACCACCCCGCCCCAGTCTCCCGATTTCCATCACCCCGCCCCTCTCCCGCTTTCCATCACTCCGCCCCATTCTCCCGGTTTCCATCACCCCGCTCCATTCTCCCGCTTTCCATCACCCCGCCCAATTATCCCTCTTTCCATCACCCCGCCCCATTCTCCCTCTTTCCATCACCCCGCCCCATTCTCTCGCTTTCCATCACCCCGCCCCATTCTCCCGCTTTCCATCACCCCGCCCCATTTTCCCGATTTCCATCACCCCGCCCCATTCTCCCGCTTTCCATCACCCCGCCCCATTCTCCCTCTTTCCATCACCCCGCCCCATTCTCCCGCTTTCCATCACCCCGCCCCATTCTCCCGCTTTCCATCACCCCGCCCCATTCTCCCGCTTTCCATCACCCCGCCCCATTCTCCCTCTTTCCATCACCCCGTCCCATTCTCCCGCTTTCCATCACCCCGCCCCATTCTCCCGCTTTCCATCACCCCGCCCCATTCTCCTTCTTTCCATCACCCCGCCCCATTCTCCCTCTTTCCATCACCCCGCCCCATTCTCCCGCATTCCATCACCCCGCGCCATTTTCCCTCGTTCCATCACCCCGCTCCATTCTCCCGCTTTCCATCACCCCGCGCGATTCTCCCTCTTTCCATCACCCCTCCCCATTCTCCCTGTTTCCATCACCCCGCCCCATTCTCCCGCTTTCCATCACCCCGCCCCATTCTCCCTCTTTCCACCACCCCGCCCCATTCTCCCTCTTTCCATCACCCCGCCACATTCTCCCGCTTTCCATCACCCCGCCCCATTCTCCCTCTTTCCATCACCCCGCCCCATTCTCCCGCTTTCCATCACCCCGCCCCATTCTCCCTCTTTCCATCACCCCGCTCCATTCTCCCGCTTTCCATCACCCCGCCCAATTCTCCCTCTTTCCATCACCCCTCCTCATTCTCCCTCTTTCCATCACCCCGCCCCATTCTCCCGCTTTCCACCACCCCGCTCCATTCTCCCGCTTTCCATCACCCTGCCCAATTCTCCCGCTTTCCATCACCACGCCCCATTTTCCCTCTTTCCATCACCCCGCCCCATTCTCCCGCTTTCCATCACCCCGCCCCATTCTCCCGCTTTCCATCACCCCGCTCCATTCTCCCGCTTTCCATCACCCCGCCCAATTCTCCCTCTTTCTATCACCCCTCTCCATTCTCCCTCTTTCCATCACCCCGCCCCAATCTCCCGCTTTCCATCACCCCGCCCCATTTTCCCGCTTTCCATCACCCTGCCCCATTCTCCCTCTTTCTATCACCCCGCCCCATTCTCCCACTTTCCATCACCCCGCCCCGTTCTCCCGCTTTCCATCACCCCGCTCCATTCTCCCGCTTTCCATCACCCCGCCCAATTCTCCCTCTTTCCATCACCCCTCCCCATTCTCCCTCTTTCCATCAACCCGCCCCATTCTCCCGCTTTCCATCACCTGCCCCATTCTCCCTCTTTCCATCACCCTGCCCCATTCTCTCGCTTTCCATCACCCCGCCCCATTCTCCCTCTTTCCATCACCCCGCCCCATTCTCCCGCTTTCCATCACCCGCCCCATTCTCCCGCTTTCCATCATCCCGCCCCATTCTCCCTCTATCCATCACCCCGCCCCATTCTCCCTCTTTCCATCACCCCGCCACATTCTCCCGCTTTCCATCACCCCGCCCCATTCTCCCTCTTTCCATCACCCCGCCCCATTCTCCCGCTTTCCATCACCCCGCCCCATTCTCCCTCTTTCCATCACCCCGCTCCATTCTCCCGCTTTCCATCACCCCGCCCAATTCTCCCTCTTTCCATCACCCCTCCTCATTCTCCCTCTTTCCATCACCCCGCCCCATTCTCCCGCTTTCCACCACCCCGCTCCATTCTCCCGCTTTCCATCACCCTGCCCAATTCTCCCGCTTTCCATCACCACGCCCCATTTTCCCTCTTTCCATCACCCCGCCCCATTCTCCCGCTTTCCATCACCCCGCCCCATTCTCCCGCTTTCCATCACCCCGCTCCATTCTCCCGCTTTCCATCACCCCGCCCAATTCTCCCTCTTTCTATCACCCCTCTCCATTCTCCCTCTTTCCATCACCCCGCCCCATTCTCCCGCTTTCCATCACCCCGCCCCATTCTCCCTCTTTCCATCACCCCGCCCCATTTTCCCGCTTTCCATCACCCTGCCCCATTCTCCCTCTTTCTATCACCCCGCCCCATTCTCCCACTTTCCATCACCCCGCCCCGTTCTCCCGCTTTCCATCACCCCGCTCCATTCTCCCGCTTTCCATCACCTCGCCCAATTCTCCCTCTTTCCATCACCCCTCCCCATTCTCCCTCTTTCCATCAACCCGCCCCATTCTCCCGCTTTCCATCACCTGCCCCATTCTCCCTCTTTCCATCACCCTGCCCCATTCTCTCGCTTTCCATCACCCCGCCCCATTCTCCCTCTTTCCATCACCCCGCCCCATTCTCCCGCTTTCCATCACCCGCCCCATTCTCCCGCTTTCCATCATCCCGCCCCATTCTCCCTCTATCCATCACCCCGCCCCATTCTCCCGCCTTCCATCACCCCGCCCCATTCTCCCGCTTTCCATCACCCCGCCCCATTCTCCCGCTTTCCATCACCCCACCCCATTCTCTCGATTTGCATCACCCTGCCCCATTCTCCCGCCTTCCATCACCCCGCCCCATTCTCTCTCTTTCCATCACCCCGCCCCATTCTCCCGCTTTCCATCACCCCGCCCCATTCTCCCTCTTTCTATCACCCCGCCCCATTCTCCCGCTTTCCATCACCCCGCCCGCTTTCCATCACCCCGCTCCATTCTCCCGCTTTCCATCACCCCGCCCAATTCTCCCTCTTTCCATCACCCCTCCCCATTCTCCCTCTTTCCATCAAACCGCCCCATTCTCCCGCTTTCCATCACCCCGGCCCATTCTCCCTCTTTCCATCACCCCACCCCATTCTCTCGCTTTCCATCACCCCGCCCCATTCTCCCTCTTTCCATCACCCCGCCCCATTCTCCCGCTTTCCATCACCCGCCCCATTCTCCCGCTTTCCATCACCCCGCCCCATTCTCCCTCTTTCCATCACCATGCCCCATTCTCCCGCCTTCCATCACCCCTCCCCATTCTCCCGCTTTCCATCACCCCGCCCCATTCTCCCGCTTTCCATCACCCCACCCCATTCTCCCGATTTGCATCACCCCGCCCCATTCTCCCGCCTTCCATCACCCCGCCCCATTCTCCCTCTTTCCATCACCCCGCCCCATTCTCCCGCTTTCCACCACCCCGCCCCATTCTCCCTCTTTCCATCACCCCGCCCCATTCTCCCGCTTTCCATCACACCACCTCATTCTCCCGCTTTCCATCACCTCGCCCTATTTTCTCTCTTTCCATCACACCACCTCATTCTCCCTCTTTCCATCACCCCTCCCCATTCTCCCTCTTTCCATCAAACCGCCCCATTCTCCCGCTTTCCATCACCCCGGCCCATTCTCCCTCTTTCCATCACTCCGCCCCATTCTCTCGCTTTCCATCACCCCTCCCCATTCTCCCTCTTTCCATCACCCCGCCCCATTCTCCCGCTTTCCATCACCCGCCCCATTCTCCCGCTTTCCATCACCCCGCCCCATTCTCCCTCTTTCCATCACCCCGCCCCACTCTCCCGCCTTCCATCACCCCGCCCCATTCTCCCTCCTTCCATCACCCCGCCTCATTCTCCCTCCTTCCATCACCCCGCCCCATTCTCCCGCTTTCCATCACCCCGCCCCATTCTCCCGCTTTCCATCACCCAGCCCCATTCTCCCGCTTTCCATCACCCCGCCCCATTCTCCCGCTTTCCATCACCCCGTCCCATTCTCCCGCTTTCCATCACTCCGCCCCATTATCCCTTCTTCCATCACCCCGCCCCATTCTCCCTCCTTCCATCACCTCGCCTCATTCTCCCTCCTTCCATCACCCCGCCCCATTCTCCCGCTTTCCATCACCCCGCCCCATTCTCCCGCTTTCCATCACCCAGCCCCATTCTCCCGCTTTCCATCACCCCGCCCCATTCTCCCGCTTTCCATCACCCTGCCCCAATCTCCCGCTTTCCATCACCCCGCCCCATTCTCCCGCTTTCCATCACCCTGCCCCATTCTCCCGCTTTCCATCACCCCACTCCATTCTCCCGCTTTACATCACCCAGCCCCATTCTCCCGCTTTCCATCACCCCGCCCCATTCTCCCGCTTTCCATCACCCCACCCCATTCTCTCTCCTTCCATCACCCCGTCCCATTCTCCCTCCTTCCATCACCCCGCCCCATTCTCCCGCTTTCCATCACCCCGCCCCATTCTCCCTCCTTCCATCACCCCGCCCCATTCTCCCTCCTTCCATCACCCCGCCCCATTCTCGCGCTTTCCATCACCTCGCCCCATTCTCCCGCTTTCCATCACCCCGCCACATTCTCCCGTTTTCTATCACCCCGCCCCATTCTCCCTTCTTCCATCACCCCGCCTCATTCTCCCGCTTTCCATCACCCCGCCCCATTCTCCCGATTTCCATCACCCCGCCCTATTCTCCCGCTTTCCATCACCCCGCCCCATTCTCCCGCTTTCCATCATCCCACCCCATTCTCCCTCCTTCCATCACCCCGCCCCATTCTTCCGCTTCCCATCATCCCGCCCTATTCCCCCGCTTTCCATCACCCCTCCCCATTCTCCCTCCTTCCATCACCCCGCCCCATTCTCTCGCTTTCCATCACCCCGCCCCATTCTCCCGCTTTCCATCACCCCGTCCCATTCTCCCGCTTTCCATCACTCCGCCCCATTATCCCTTCTTCCATCACCCCGCCCCATTCTCCCTCCTTCCATCACCCCGCCCCATTCTCCTGCTTTCCATCACCCCGCCTCATTCTCCCGCTTCCCATAACCCCACCCCATTCTCCCGCTTTCCATCACCCCGCCACATTCTCCCACTTTCCATCACCCCGCCCCATTCTCCCGCTTTCCATCACCCCGCCCGATTCTCCCTCTTTCCATCACCCCGCCCCATTCTCCCTCTTTCCATCACCCCGCCCCATTTTCCCGCTTTCCATCACCCCGCCCCATTCTCCCTCTTTCTATCACCCCGCCCCATTCTCCCACTTTCCATCACCCCGCCCCATTCTCCCGCTTTCCATCACCCCGCTCCATTCTCCCGCTTTCCATCACCCCGCCCAATTCTCCCTCTTTCCATCACCCCTCCCCATTCTCCCTCTTTCCATCAACCCGCCCCATTCTCCCGCTTTCCATCACCCCGCCCCATTCTCCCTCTTTCCATCACCCCGCCCCATTCTCTCGCTTTCCATCACCCCGCCCCATTCTCCCTCTTTCCATCACCCCGCCCCATTCTCCCGCTTTCCATCACCCGCCCCATTCTCCCGCTTTCCATCATCCCGCCCCATTCTCCCTCTATCCATCACCCCGCCCCATTCTCCCGCCTTCCATCACCCCGCCCCATTCTCCCGCTTTCCATCACCCCGCCCCATTCTCCCGCTTTCCATCACCCCACCCCATTCTCTCGATTTGCATCACCCCGCCCCATTCTCCCGCCTTCCATCACCCCGCCCCATTCTCCCTCTTTCCATCACCCCGCCTCATTCTCCTGCTTTCCATCACCCCGCCCCATTCTCCCTCTTTCTATCACCCCGCCCCATTCTCCCGCTTTCCATCACCCCGCCCGCTTTCCATCACCCCGCTCCATTCTCCCGCTTTCCATCACCCCGCCCAATTCTCCCTCTTTCCATCACCCCTCCCCATTCTCCCTCTTTCCATCAAACCGCCCCATTCTCCCGCTTTCCATCACCCCGCCCCATTCTCCCTCTTTCCATCACCCCGCCCCATTCTCTCGCTTTCCATCACCCCGCCCCATTCTCCCTCTTTCCATCACCCCGCCCCATTCTCCCGCTTTCCATCACCCGCCCCATTCTCCCGCTTTCCATCATCCCGCCCCATTCTCCCTCTATCCATCACCCCGCCCCATTCTCCCTCTTTCCATTCTCCCGCCCCATTCTCCCGCTTTCCATCACCCGCCCCATTCTCCCGCTTTCCATCATCCCGCCCCATTCTCCCTCTTTCCATCATCCCGCCCCATTCTCCCTCTATCCATCACCTCGCCCCATTCTCCCGCTTTCCATCACCCTGCCCCATTCTCCCGCTTTCCATCACCCCACCCCATTCTCTCGATTTGCATCACCCCGCCCCATTCTCCCGCCTTCCATCACCCCGCCCCATTCTCCCTCTTTCCATCACCCCGCCTCATTCTCCCGCTTTCCATCACCCCGCCCCATTCTCCCGCTTTCCATCACCCCGCCCGCTTTCCATCACCCCGCTCCATTCTCCCGCTTTCCATCACCCCGCCCAATTCTCCCTCTTTCCATCACCCCTCCCCATTCTCCCTCTTTCCATCAAACCGCCCCATTCTCCCGCTTTCCATCACCCCGGCCCATTCTCCCTCTTTCCATCACCCCACCCCATTCTCTCGCTTTCCATCACCCCGCCCCATTCTCCCTCTTTCCATCACCCCGCCCCATTCTCCCGCTTTCCATCACCCGCCCCATTCTCCCGCTTTCCATCACCCCGCCCCATTCTCCCGCTTTCCATCACCCCACCCCATTCTCTCGATTTGCATCACCCCGCCTCATTCTCCCTCTTTCCATCACCCCGCCTCATTCTCCCGCTTTCCATCACCCTGCCCCATTCTCCCGCTTTCCATCACCCCACCCCATTCTCTCGATTTGCACCACCCCGCCCCATTCTCCCGCCTTCCATCACCCCGCCCCATTCTCCCTCTTTCCATCACCCCGCCTCATTCTCCCGCTTTCCATCACCCCGCCCCATTCTCCCGCTTTCCATCACCCCGCCCGCTTTCCATCACCCCGCTACATTCTCCCGCTTTCCATCACCCCGCCCAATTCTCCCTCTTTCCATCACCCCTCCCCATTCTCCCTCTTTCCATCAAACCGCCCCATTCTCCCGCTTTCCATCACCCCGGCCCATTCTCCCTCTTTCCATCACCCCACCCCATTCTCTCGCTTTCCATCACCCCGCCCCATTCTCCCTCTTTCCATCACCCCGCCCCATTCTCCCGCTTTCCATCACCCGCCCCATTCTCCCGCTTTCCATCACCCCGCCCCATTCTCCCGCTTTCCATCACCCCACCCCATTCTCTCGATTTGCATCACCCCGCCCCATTCTCCCGCCTTCCATCACCCCGCCTCATTCTCCCTCTTTCCATCACCCCGCCTCATTCTCCCGCTTTCCATCACCCCGCCCCATTCTCCCGCTTTCCATCACCCCGCCCGCTTTCCATCACCCCGCTCCATTCTCCCGCTTTCCATCACCCCGCCCAATTCTCCCTCTTTCCATCACCCCTCCTCATTCTCCCACTTTCCATCAAACCGCCCCATTCTCCCGCTTTCCATCACCCCGGCCCATTCTCCCTCTTTCCATCACCCCACCCCATTCTCTCGCTTTCCATCACCCCGTCCCATTCTCCCTCTTTCCATCACCCCGCCCCATTCTCCCGCTTTCCATCACCCGCCCCATTCTCCCGCTTTCCATCACCCCGCCCCATTCTCCCTCTTTCCATCACCCCGCCCCATTCTCCCGCCTTCCATCACCCCGCCCCATTCTCCCGCTTTCCATTACCCCGCCCCATTCTCCCGCTTTCCATCACCCCACCCCATTCTCCCGATTTGCATCACCCCGCCCCATTCTCCCGCCTTCCATCACCCCGCCCCATTCTCCCTCTTTCCATCACCCCGCCCCATTCTCCCGCTTTCCACCACCCCGCCCCATTCTCCCTCTTTCCATCACCCCGCCCCATTCTCCCGCTTTCCATCACACCACCTCATTCTCCCGCTTTCCATCACCTCGCCCTATTTTCTCTCTTTCCATCACACCACCTCATTCTCCCTCTTTCCATCACCCCTCCCCATTCTCCCTCTTTCCATCAAACCGCCCCATTCTCCTGCTTTCCATCACCCCGGCCCATTCTCCCTCTTTCCATCACTCCGCACCATTCTCTCGCTTTCCATCACCCCTCCCCATTCTCCCTCTTTCCATCACCCCGCCCCATTCTCCCGCTTTCCATCACCCGCCCCATTCTCCCGCTTTCCATCACCCCGCCCCATTCTCCCTCTTTCCATCACCCCGCCCCATTCTCCCGCCTTCCATCACCCCGCCCCATTCTCCCTCCTTCCATCACCTCGCCTCATTCTCCCTCCTTCCATCACCCCGCCCCATTCTCCCGCTTTCCATCACCCCGCCCCATTCTCCCGCTTTCCATCACCCAGCCCCATTCTCCCGCTTTCCATCACCCCGCCCCATTCTCCCGCTTTCCATCACCCTGCCCCAATCTCCCGCTTTCCATCACCCCGCCCCATTCTCCCGCTTTCCATCACCCTGCCCCATTCTCCCGCTTTCCATCACCCCACTCCATTCTCCCGCTTTCCATCACCCAGCCCCATTCTACCGCTTTCCTTCACCCCGCCCCATTCTCCCGCTTTCCATCACCCCACCCCATTCTCCCTCCTTCCATCACCCCGTCCCATTCTCCCTCCTTCCATCACCCCGCCCCATTCTCCCACTTTCCATCACCCCGCCCCATTCTCCCTCCTTCCATCACCCCGCCCCTTTCTCCCGCTTTCCATCTCCCTGCCCCATTCTCCCGCTTTCCATCACCCCACCCCATTCTTCCGCTTTCCATCAGCCCGCCCCATTCTCCCGCTTTCCATCACCCCGCCCCTTTCTCCCGCTTTCCATCTCCCTGCCCCATTCTCCCGCTTTCCATCACCCCACCCCATTCTCCCGCTTTCCATCACCCCGCCCCATTCTCCCGCTTCCCATCATCCCGCCCCATTCTCCCGCTTTCCATCACCCCGCCCCATTCTCCCTCCTTCCATTTCCCCGCCTCATTCTCCCGCTTTCCATCACCCCGCCCCATTCTCCCGCTTTCCATCACCCCGCCCCCTTCTCCCTCCTTCCATCACCCCGCCCCATTCTCCCTCCTTCCATCACCCCGCCCCATTCTCCCGCTTTCCATCAGCCCGCCCCATTCTCCCGCTTTCCATCACCCCGCCCCATTCTCCCGCTTTCCATAACCCCACCCCATTCTCCCGCTTTCCATCACCCCGCCACATTTTCCCGCTTTCTATCACCCCGCCCCATTCTCCCTCCTTCCATCACCCCGCCCCATTCTCCCGCTTTCCATCACCCCGCCCCATTCTCCCGATTTCCGTCACCCCGCCCCATTCTCCCGCTTTCCATCACCCCGCCCCATTCTCCCGCTTTCCATCACCCCGCCCCATTCTCCCGCTTTCCATCATCCCGCCCCATTCTCCCTCCTTCCATCACCCCGCCCCATTCTCTCTCCTTCCATCACCCCGCCCCATTCTCCCTCTTTCCATCACCCCGCCCCATTCTCTTGCTTCCCATAACCCCACCCCATTCACTCGCTTTCCATCACCCCGCCACATTCTCCCACTTTCCATCACCCCGCCCCCTTCTCTCTCCTTCCATCACCCCGCCCCATTCTCCCTCCTTCCATCACCCCGCCCCATTCTCCCGCTCTTCATCAGCCCGCCCCATTCTCCCGCTTTCCATCACCCCTCCCCTTTCTCCCGCTTTCCATCTCCCCACCCCATTCTCCCGCTTTCCATCACCCCGCCCCATTCTCCTGCTTTCCATCACCCCGCCCCATTCTTCCGCTTCCCATCATCCCGCCCCATTCCCCCGCTTTCCATCACCCCTCCCCATTCTCCCTCCTTCCATCACCCCGCCCCATTCTCTCGTTTTCCATCACCCCGCCCCATTCTCCCGCTTTCCATCACCCCGCCCCATTCTCCCGCTTTCCATCACCCCGCCCCATTCTCCCTCCTTCCATCACCCCGCCCCATTCTCCCGCTTTCTATCACCCCGCCCCATTCTCCCTCCTTCCATCACCCCGCCCCATTCTCCCTCATTCCATCACCCCGCTCCATTCTCCCGCTTTCCATCACCCCGCCCCATTCTCCCGCTTCCCATAACCCCACCCCATTCACCCGCTTTCCATCACCCCGCCACATTCTCCCACTTTCCATCACCCCTCCCCTTTCTCCCGCTTTCCATCTCCCCACCCCATTCTCCCGCTTTCCATCACCCCGCCCCATTCTCCCGCTTTCCATCACCCCGCCCCATTCTTCCGCTTCCCATCATCCCGCCCCATTCCCCCGCTTTCCATCACCCCTCCCCATTCTCCCTCCTTCCATCACCCCGCCCCATTCTCTCGCTTTCCATCACCCCGCCCCATTCTCCCGCTTTCCATCACCCCGCCCCATTCTCCCGCTTTCCATCACCCCGCCCCATTCTCCCTCCTTCCATCACCCCGCCCCATTCTCCCGCTTTCTATCACCCCGCCCCATTCTCCCTCCTTCCATCACCCCGCCCCATTCTCCCTCATTCCATCACCCCGCTCCATTCTCCCGCTTTCCATCACCCCGCCCCATTCTCCCGCTTCCCATAACCCCACCCCATTCTCCCGGTTTCCATCACCCCGCCACATTTTCCCACTTTCCATCACCCCGCCCCCTTCTTTCTCCTTCCATCACCCCGCCCCATTCTCACTCCTTCCATCACCCCGCCCCATTCTCCCGCTTTGCATCAGCCCGCCCCATTCTCCCGCTTTCCATCTCCCCGCCCTATTCTCCCGCTTTCCATCACCCCGCCCCCTTCTTCCTCCTTCCATCACCCCGCCCCATTCTCCCTCCTTCCTTCACCCCGCCCCATTCTTCCGCTTTCCATCACCCTGCCCCATTCTCCCGCTTTCCATCACCCCGCCCCATTCTCCCGCTTTCCATCACCCCGCCCCATTCTCCCTCCTTCCATCACCCCGCCCCATTCTCCCGCTTTCCATCACCCCACCCCATTCTCCCGCTTTCCATCACCCCGCCCCCTTCTCCCGCTTGCCATCACCCCGCCCCATTCTCCCGCTTTCCATCACCCCGCCCCATTCTTCCGCTTCCCATCATCCCGCCCCATTCCCCCGCTTTCCATCACCCCTCCCCATTCTCCCTCCTTCCATCACCCCGCCCCATTCTCTCGCTTTCCATCACCCCGCCCCATTCTCCCGCTTTCCATCACCCCGCCCCATTCTCCCGCTTTCCATCACCCCGCCCCATTCTCCCTCCTTCCATCACCCCGCCCCATTCTCCCGCTTTCTATCACCCCGCCCCATTCTCCCTCCTTCCATCACCCCGCCCCATTCTCCCTCATTCCATCACCCCGCTCCATTCTCCCGCTTTCCATCACCCCGCCCCATTCTCCCGCTTCCCATAACCCCACCCCATTCACCCGCTTTCCATCACCCCGCCACATTCTCCCACTTTCCATCACCCCGCCCCCTTCTCTCTCCTTCCATCACCCCGCCCCATTCACCCTCCTTCCATCAGCCCGCCCCATTCTCCCGCTTTCCATCACCCCTCCCCTTTCTCCCGCTTTCCATCTCCCCACCCCATTCTCCCGCTTTCCATCACCCCGCCCCATTCTCCCGCTTTCCATCACCCCGCCCCATTCTTCCGCTTCCCATCATCCCGCCCCATTCCCCCGCTTTCCATCACCCCTCCCCATTCTCCCTCCTTCCATCACCCCGCCCCATTCTCTCGCTTTCCATCACCCCGCCCCATTCTCCCGCTTTCCATCACCCCGCCCCATTCTCCCGCTTTCCATCACCCCGCCCCATTCTCCCTCCTTCCATCACCCCGCCCCATTCTCCCGCTTTCTATCACCCCGCCCCATTCTCCCTCCTTCCGTCACCCCGCCCCATTCTCCCTCATTCCATCACCCCGCTCCATTCTCCCGCTTTCCATCACCCCGCCCCATTCTCCCGCTTCCCATAACCCCACCTCATTCTCCCGGTTTCCATCACCCCGCCACATTTTCCCACTTTCCATCACCCCGCCCCCTTCTTTCTCCTTCCATCACCCCGCCCCATTCTCCCTCCTTCCATCACCCCGCCCCATTCTCCCGCTTTGCATCAGCCCGCCCCATTCTCCCGCTTTCCATCTCCCCGCCCTATTCTCCCGCTTTCCATCACCCCGCCCCCTTCTTCCTCCTTCCATCACCCCGCCCCATTCTCCCTCCTTCCTTCACCCCGCCCCATTCTTCCGCTTTCCATCACCCTGCCCCATTCTCCCGCTTTCCATCACCCCGCCCCATTCTCCCGCTTGTCCATCACCCCGCCCCATTCTCCCTCCTTCCATCACCCCGCCCCATTCTCCCGCTTTCCATCACCCCGCCCCATTCTCCCGCTTTCCATCACCCCGCCCCCTTCTCCCTCCTTCCATCACCCCGCCCCATTCTCCCTCCTTCCATCACCCCGCCCCATTCTCCCGCTTTCCATCAGCCCGCCCCATTCTCCCGCTTTCCATCAGCCCGCCCCTTTCTCCCGCTTTCCATCTCCCTGCCCCATTCTCCCGCTTTCCATCACCCCACCCCATTCTCCCGCTTTCCATCACCCCGCCCCATTCTCCCGCTTCCCATCATCCCGCCCCATTCTCCCGCTTTCCATCACCCCGCCCCATTCTCCCTTCTTCCATCACCCCGCCCCATTCTCCCACTTTCCATCACCCCGCCCCATTCTCCCGCTTTCCATCACCCCGCCACTTTCTCCCTCCTTCCATCACCCCGCCCCATTCTCCCTCCTTCCATCACCCCGCCCCATTCTCCCGCTTTCCATCAGCCCGCCCCATTCTCCCGCTTTCCATCACCCCGCCCCATTCTCCCGCTTCCCATAACCCCACCCCATTCTCCCGCTTTCCATCACCCCGCCACATTTTCCCGCTTTCTATCACCCCGCCCCATTCTCCCTCCTTCCATCACCCCACCCCATTCTCCCGCTTTCCATCACCCCGCCCCATTCTCCCGACTTCCGTCACCCCGCCCCATTCTCCCGCTTTCCATCACCCCGCCCCATTCTCCCGCTTTCCATCACCCCGCCCCATTCTCCCGCTTTCCATCATCCTGCCCCATTCTCCCTTCTTCCATCACCCCGCCCCATTCTCCCACTTTCCATCACTCCGCCCCATTCTCCCTCCTTCCATCACCCCGCCCCATTCTCCCTCCTTCCATCACCCCGCCCCATTCTCCCTCTTTCCATCACCCCGCCCCATTCTCCCGCTTCCCATAACCCCACCCCATTCTTCCGCCTTCCATCACCCCGCCACATTCTCCCACTTTCCATCACCCCGCCCCCTTCTCTCTCCTTCCATCACCCCGCCCCATTCTCCCTCCTTCCATCACCCCGCCCCATTCTCCCGCTCTTCATCAGCCCGCCCCATTCTCCCGCTTTCCATCACCCCTCCCCTTTCTCCCGCTTTCCATCTCCCCGCCCCATTCTCCCGCTTTCCATCACCCCGCCCCATTCTCCGGCTTTCCATCACCCGCCCCATTCTCCCGCTTACCATCACCCGCCCCAGCGAGTTGCTCCCAGCACCCCCACTAGCTAGGCGAGTTGCTCCCAGCACCTCCACCAGCCAGGTGAGTTGCTCCCAGCACCCCCACTAGCCAGACGAGTTGCTCCTAGCATCCTCACCAGCCAGGTGAGTTGCTCCCAGCACCCCCACCAGCCAGGTGAGTTGCTCCCAGCACCCCCACCAGCCAGGCGAGTTGCTCCCAGCACCCCCACTAGCCAGGCGAGTTGCTCCCAGCACCCCCACCAGCCAGGCAAATTGCTCCCAGCACCCCCACCAACCAGGTGAGTTGCTCTTAGCACCCCACCAGCCAGGTGAGTTGCTCCCAGCACCCCCACCAGACAGGTGAGTTGCTCCCAGCACCCCCCACCAGCCAGGTGAGTTGCTCCCAGCACACCCACCAGCCAGGCGAGTTGCTCCCAGCACCCCCACCAGCCAGGCGAGTTGCTCCCAGCACCCCCACCAGCCAGACGAGCTGTTCCCAGCACCCCCACCTGCCAGGCGGGTTGCTCCCAGCACCCCCACCAGCCAGGCGAGTTGCTCCTTGCACCCCCACCAGCCAGGCGAGTTGCTCCCAGCACCCCCACCAGCCAGGCGAGTTGCTCCCAGCACTCCCACCAGCCAGGCGAGTTGCTCCCAGCATCCCCACCAGCCAGGCAAGTTGCTCCCAGCACCCCCACCAGCCAGGCGAATTGCTCCCAGCACCCCCACCAGCCAGGCGAGTTGCTCCCAGCACCCCCACCAGCACGGCGAGTTGCTCCCGGCACCCCCACCGGCCAGGTTACTTGCTCCCAGCACCCCCACCAGCCAGGTGAGTTGCTCCCAGCACTCCCACCAGCCAGGAGAGTTGCTCCCAGCACCCCCATCGGCCAGGTGAGTTGCTCCCACCACCCCCACCAGCCAGGTGAGTTGCTAGGTGAGTTGCTCCCAGCACCCCCACCAGCCAGGCGAGTTGCTCCCAGCACCCCCACCAGCCAGGTGAGTTGCTCCTAGCACCCCCACCAGCCAGGTGAGTTGCTCCCAGCACCCCCACCAGCGAGGCGAGTTGCTCCCAGCACCCCCACCAGCCAGGTGAGTTGCTCCCAGCACCCCCACCAGCCAGGCGAGTTGCTCCCAGCACCCCCACCAGCCAGGTGAGTTGCTCCTAGCACCTCCACCAGCCAGGTGAGTTGCTCCCAGCACCCCCACCAGCTAGGCGAGTTGCTCCCAGCACCCCCACCAGCCAGACGAGTTGCTCCCAGCACCCCCACCAGCCAGGCAAGTTCCTCCCAGCACCCCCACCAGCCAGGCGAGTTGCTCCCAGCACCCCCACCAGCCAGGCGAGTTGCTCCCAGCACCCCCACCAGCCAGGCGAGTTGCTCCCAGCACCCCCACCAGCCAGGCGAGTTGCTCCCAGCACCCCCACCAGCCAAACGAGTTGCTCCTAGCACCCCCACCAGCCAGGTGAGTTGCTCCCAGCACCCCCACCAGCTAGGTGAGTTGCTCCCAGCACCCCCACCAGCCAGGCGAGTTGCTCCCAGCACCCCCACCAGCCAGGCGAGTTGCTCCCAGCACCCCCACCAGCTAGGCGAGTTGCTCCCAGCACCCATACCAGCCAGGCGAGTTGCTCCCAGCACCCCCACCAGCCAGGCGAGTTGCTCCCAGCACGCCCACCAGCCAGGTGAGCTGCTTCCAGCACCCCCACCAGCCAGGCGAGTTGCTCCCAGCACCCCCACCGGCCAGGCGAGTTGCTCCCAGCACCCCCACCAGCTAGGCGAGTTGGTCCGAGCACCCCCACCAGCCAGACGAGTTGCTCCAGGCACCCCCAACAGCCAGGTGAGTTGCTCCCAGCACCCCCACCAGCCAGGAGAGTTGCTCCCAGCACCCCCACCAACCAGGCGAGTTGATGGAAAGCAGGAGAATGGGGCGGGGTGATGGAAGGATGGAGAATGGGGCAGGGTGATAGAATGCAGGAGAATGGGGCGGGATGATGGAAAGAGGGAGAATGGGGCGGGGTGATGGAAAGTGGGAGAATAGGGCGGGGTGATGGAAAGAGGGAGAATAGGGAGGGGTGATGGAAAGCGGGAGAATGGGGCAGGGTGATGAAAAGTTGGAGAATGGGGCGGTGTGATGGAAAGAGGGAGAATGGGGCGGGGTGATGGAAAGCGGGAGAATGGGGCAGGGTGATGGACAGCGGGAGGATGGGGAGGGGTGATGGAAAGCAGGAGAATGGGGCGGGGTGATGGAAAGCGGGAGAATGGGGCGGGGTGATGGAAAGCGGGAGAATGGGGCGGGGTGATCGAAAGCGGGAGAATGGGGCAGAGTGATGGACAGCGGGAGAATGGGGAGGGGTGATGGAAAGCGGGAGAATGGGGCAGGGTGATGGAAAGAGGGAGAATGGGGCGGGGTGATGGAAAGCGGGAGAATGGGGCAGGGTGATGGAAAGCGGGAGAATGGGGCGGGGTGATGGAAAGAGGGAGAATGGGGAGGGGTGATGGAAAGAGGGAGAATTGGTTGGGGTGATGGAAAAGCGGGAG